TTCTTAGCTGTAATCTTATCATCGCTTTAGTTACCTAATAGTTATGCTATTACAAGGCCGATGTGTGTGAATTTTTAACATGAAAACTATGTAGTGTAGAATTTTCAAAAGAAAAAATATATGTATACACTTTCAAGTACACTTTGCAAAATTTTCTAAAATTCTCGACAAATATTTGTTTCGCGAAAAAATATATTTGATAATAATTGCATATCTTATCTTATCTTATTAACTTTGGTTTAAGATATTTTTCTTCTTTTCTTCCGGAATTTTTTTCTCATAAATAATAGCACGTACGCCTACATGTTATTTAACGAAATATGCTTCATTTTGACCGAGGAAGTGAAAAGTTATTTTCATAAACAATTTTCGATTTTGATCAAAATCGACGGATCACCCATTGCAAAGTCTTATAAAAATATTTCTTTGATTTTTAAAAAATTGCGTTTTCACTTTTGAGAAAAGCTTCCTACATGGTTTTTCAGATTTTTGGATATCAGGCAACTTTTTGGACATTTTTCCACCAAAGAGTACAAAAAAATATACTCCTTCGGTAGTTCTATATTTTTTTTTTAAATTCTTCAACTAAAGACACGTAGTTTCTTGTTTTTATCACTGAGATCTGTTTACCCAATCGAGAGTTATGATGTTTTCAAAATTTGGACGAGAATTCTGACCGATTCGACGCCCAGTACATAACTCCTCACAAGCTCATCCAAAAGTCAACGTATTACTCACGCTTGAATGCGTCTTTGTACCTGCTACAATACTACAACAATAAAAATACCCCATCCCCTTTAAAGAACCATTGATGATCTTGAAATTTCGGAAATTATATCCTTGAGAATTTTTTTTCGCAGGTGGTAAAAATGCCCTTTTGCAATTGAAAATTTTTATCAGAATTACAGTGGGTGTAGAATGTATTCGTACACCGATCAATTTACAAAAGAACTATTGTGTGAAATTGCAGTTTATTAACTTTTTTTTTTATAATCAATGATATTTTACATATTCTCGGAAATCTCTAAGATAGATATAGTCCAAACAACAGTTATTAATTAATATAGTTTGTGACATTAACAAAAAAAAGTGCGAAAAGTGGGTAAAAGTATAGAAGCAATAAGTATTTGTACGATTCATTTTGACGAAGTGTTTACTGTAGAGTTTGTAACGTAAACGCATTAGTTTATTACTCCGTACGAATTAGAAAACATCAAATTTCCAGTAAAGTACTTTTAAAAATGGCTCTAATACAGGAATTGAAGAAGATGCCATTTTGAATAACTAATAATTTAGTTAATTTAACGTTTAGAAAAGTTACAATAATTATGAAATCTAAAGGAAATCCCACAAAGGAACTATTATATACTTGTAAATTAATGTAAATTTCTTTTTTTTTTTAATCAAGTTTTAAAAATTAAACAGTTGTACGAATACCTATTGCTGCTTCAATATTTCTATCGATTAATTGTTTTTTTCTTGTTAATTTCGCAACTTACATAAATAGCTATTTTGTTGTACTCTATCTATTCTAGAGATTTCCGTGAAATATTTAGAATGTCATTGTTTATAGATAAGTAAGTTAATAAATTACAATTTTACATAGTTTTTTTTTGGAAATTGATCGGTGTACGAATACTTTCTACACACACTGTATATGCTTGTTTCGTTTAAAACAACGAAGAGATTTAAGGTCATCACCTGAACTGGAACACCCTGTATATGTATAACGATGAGGACTATAGAACATACATATAAAATTGTACATATTATTTCTTACGAAAATATAACACTCGACCGCGATCGTCGTAGACCTGATCGAGGTCTACCTTGAAGAGTATTTAGTTTTATATACAGTGGTGTCCTTCTTGTGCACTAAATGCGCCTAACGATCAAATGTTAAATGTATCTCGCTCGCCCTCACTGTTTCTTGCTCGCTTTCTCGGTATCTTACCGGCTTCTTAGTGTTTCTTAATCTCGTCCCCAATGTACACAAGGACGTGCTAGTCGCAGAGCTAACAACAATTAAGTTTCACCTGTCCTTCGTACAGTTCTAATTTGGTTCCTAACTAACAACTTGATACATGTACGTGTACCATAACACTGCACACATGTGCACATTCATAATTCCTTATAAAAATATAAAGAGTAACACAGATTATGTTTTTAAATTCAGATGATCATTGGAAACTGACTATATTTCATAGTCAGATATATATCAACGAATTTTTGTTTAACGTTACTGAAAGATTCTATAGGGAATAGTTTTCCAATGGATACAATTTTGTTTTCCAATTAAAATGATTTTAATTGAATCTAATTTCTGTTTAAAATGGCTCTATTATTAATAACGCCTTTGTCATATTTTTTAGTAACAACCATTGAAATAGGAAACTAATAAAATTCCTTTGGCCCTCCTCCCTCTTTAATTTAAAAAATATTCTAGCATTTTGAATAGAAACGTTGACCATCGTTAATTTTAATTTAAAAAAAAAAATAGCTAAACGTACACATATGCACCAATGGCCACGAAAAGCTAAACTAACAAAGGTATTAAAAAAAAAAAAACAATTAGCTAAGTCTAACCTCGTTTGTTTCTAACTGTAAAAAGGCGATTATTAGCGAAGTCTAATAATTATAGCGACTATCTGATATCTACGGTTATCTTGCTTGCATTGGCTATTCTAAATCGTATTACGCTGGAATTGTTGCTTTTAGCGGGATCTAACTAAATTTCTATAATTTGATCAGATTTATTTATGAAATCCTATAATTTATCTGCGTTCGAATGTACTATACTTTCCAAACCCAATAACATAATACTAAAGCAGAGAATTGGCAGCAATACGATTGAAAAAGAATGCTTACCGCAAGAACCAGGACACGAATTGTAGCACGAGGCAAGATAAGGTCAAGAAACAAACAAATTACATTGACGTTAAATTTATAAGACAAATGTTTATGGAATTGTAGAGGTGAATTTATGTAAGTTTGAATTTCAAAGTTTAACTGTACGCTGCGTAATTTTAAACTTGCATCTTATTCCTGTTTACTTCTAACCTACAGTGGATGTAGAATGTATTTGTACACCGATCAATTTCCCAAAAAACTTTTCGTGTGAAATTGTAGTTTCATAACTTTTTTTTTTATAATCAATGATATTTTACATATTCTCGGAAATCTCTAAGATAGATATAGTTAATATAATTTTTGAAATTAACAAAAAAAAGTGCGAAAAGTGGGTAAAAGTATAGAAGCAATAAGTATTTGTACGATTCATTATGACGAAGTGTTTACGGTAGAGTTTGTAACGTAAACACATTAGTTTATTACTCCGTACGAATTAGAAAACATCAAATTTCCAGTAAAGTACTTTTAAAAATGGCTCTAATAGAGGAATTGAAGAAGATGCCACTTTGAATAACTAATAATTTAGTTAATCTAACGTTTAGAAAAGTTACAATAATTATGAAATCTAAAGGAAATCCCACGAAGGAACTATTATATACTTGTAAATTAATGTAAATTTCTTTTTTTTTTTTAATCAAGTTTTAAAAATTAAACAGTTGTGCGAATACCTATTGCTTCAATATTTCTATCGATTAATTGTTTTTTTCTTGTTAATTTCGCAACTTACATAAATAGCTATTTTGTTGCACTCTATCTATTCTAGAGATTTCCGTGAAATATTTAGAATGTCATTGTTTATAGATAAGTAAGTTAATAAATTACAATTTTACATAGTTTTTTGTTGGAAATTGATCGGTGTACGAATACTTTCTACACACACTGTATATAGAAATCTAAATTAGTGTCGATAGGAACTTTCATTTGCAGAACAAATCGCAAGTTTTATAATCAGTATAAAATTGTAGACATGTGACGTTCGACTAACAAAGTGAATCAGATTTCTCTTACGGAGAAAAATTCGATGATTCATTCCGTTTACGTTATGCTGCTGTTGCGATGTCGATTCATAGGATTTAGTAAAAAACTTAAGAACTCGTAACCCAGTCGTCAGTTGTTTCAGTTGTCGATACAAATGAATTAAAAAATAAAATAAACATAACGAACAGAAGCAGACTAACGTAATACGAGTGCCACTGGAAATACTTTAAAATGAAACTTAAATTGTGGCACTCGAGTATGTGCATCACAACAGATTTTCAATTAAAATGAATATTGCAAAAAAATGTGATATTATAAAAGTTACAAAAATTCTTTGATGGTAAAAACATTAATAAAATGTTTTGCTAGGTACAAATATTATAAAATTTAACTTTTTAATAAATACTAATAAATAAATTATAATCAATTAGTTGGAGAAGCATGAATCAAAATAGAAGCCAATTTTATTACAATAATCCCTTTTTTCTTTATCAGTTTTACGGTATAAGACACGTCTTTTCTTATCGTCACATAGTTATCTGATAAGTACTACCTGATAAATCACGTGGATGAATATTTTGTGACGTATCACATTTCAGATAACTCTGTATTACTTGAGTAACTCACAAAAACTACAGACCGAGGTGCTAAAGTCAAGTTAGGTTATACATCTTTTGTTTACTCGATCCTACATTACGATTAATAATTCTGATTATTTCGTTTCCATCATAAACATTGATTTCTACACATACGAAGAACATTGCCTCGAATTTGCACCTGTCACCTTTCCCTGTAATATTTACTCTGCCGAACGATCATCGCCTACCACTCAGACATTTTGTTCAGGTAACAAAAAAAAAAAAGAATCGATTGTAAACAACGATTAACTTCGCCACCCACTTGCACGATATTAAACTTGTTTTCGTTCATAGAATTCATTACAACTCGATCAGAATGTCTCAACTGACCTATAAATTCGTGCATGTATTTACTTTCACTAAACAACGTCTCAATCGCGTTTCCACATTGATTCATAACTAAAATCGGTAATTGCACCGTGTAACATACATATTCTGTCGGTAAACGGAAAGTTAACGCTTTCTAGCGCTTACCATTACAATGAATTCGGCTTTTCGGTTACTCCTTTGTATCCACGACTTTGTATCCAATTAAACACTTCGTATCTGAGAAAGGCACATGGGAAAGGCACTCACGAAAATACAATTGGAAACAACATTTGCGGCAGGTTATGCGGGTACACGTGTAGCACCATCGACAATCGCGGAACGTCGATTTTGAATAATTCACGCGACGAACAGAAGATGCGACTCAACCGTGCCACGGTCCGACGTGTACTGATCGATGAGTCAGTGCACTGGACACACAGTGCCGTCATACCGTCAGACGTCAGACTGAAGAACGTGCTCTACGTGTCTAATTACTTAAGAATTTTACTCGCGTACAGATGTTGTACAATTTGCTTACTGAATAAGTGTACCACACTTCACGCCACGATTACCGTAACTCCTGACGCGTCCCAATTTTTATGTTTGACCTCCTGAGGGATGCTGACATTGTATCTCTGGGTTTATAGCAAAATTACTGTTATTTAACGAGTATAATTAGAAAATAAAGAATATACGATGTTAATGTTAGACAGCGTATTTTTATGTCAAAATCAATTTATAGGTGAAGATCGCTTTTGTTTGGTTGTATTCGATTAAAGCAAAACAAAATTAATTTAAAATTTGTGCCTCAAGAGGTGAATGTATCGTGTCTTGAGTTAACACTTTACCGACCGGTAACGTTTAAACATATAATTAACAATATTTCTTATTTTCGTACTATTAATATTATTCAATATTCATTTTATTTACTAGAATTGTTCTTAGATTAATATTTATATAATAGTTTATAACTCAAGTACTTGCCATGGCAAAAAGTCGGTTAATAGGCTACCCGGTCGGTAAAGTGTTAAAAAAGCTTACATCATTTCGATATACTGCCATACCATCAGTAGTCAATTTGAAGATTCAATTCTGTTCTCCTTTAAATTTATTTTTAGATTCTATCAGATTCTATCGGATTTGAAGTACACTTAAATTATTTCAGAGATCATTCTAATTAACTAAAATTGAATTTCCCTTTTAACAAACAAATTTCTTGACATATCAAAGATTTTCCATAACTTGGCTATATTATTCAGTACATGAAAAAAATAATTACGATTACATGTGAATATTATAAAAATTTGAAATTAAATACTACGAATGGCAATCCTTTAAAATTGAATAAATAGTTTTTAAATTGTATTATTATTTTATATACGCGATACACGCAAAACTTAAATAAAAATAAATTACCTAAATAATAAAAAATTAAAATGTGACACCTAACAAAACATTTATCAAAACAAAATGATAAATACAAATTTCGACAAGGTGAAACTATATTGCTAACTGTGATTGACATCACTAACTCTACTGTAGCTGTATGAACAAGTAGCACTCTCGTGTGCCGTTCACTTATTGCACTCTGCAACGGTACATTCATTCTAAAAATACTGTCCAATTATGTAGCGTAGTAACATCTGGTACATTTATAGTTACGAATGTTATGACACATGAATCCGTAAACTTGAAATTCTAGTAGCGGATGCGACTTCTCTTTTCTAAGTATATATTACGAGTTGAGTGTACCTTCATGGGTAAAATTTAAAATGCAGAATTAAACATTGCAATTTCAGTGTTATAATAGAACAATGGCTTTTGTTGACTGCACAGATAACAGTCCAGTGGGCAATTATAAAACATTCTCACGCTTCAAATCTAAGCACAGTTCTTAGGTTTGATGTAAGCATAGTGAGTCATTCGTACTTTCTCATCTGTTGACTCAAGATGATTGATATACATTTACTGGAGAGCAACAAATCATTATAACATTATAACAAGACAACATAATTAACTGTATATTGATTGATATACAATATCTGAAAAACAATATACCATAATAAAAATATAATAACAAAAGTATAACATTATAACAAAACAGTTGACTTATAACATGCCTCAACTGTTCATTCGAATAAACGTTATGAATATATTCCTAATATTTCTATGTATATGTTAATTTTATTAAAAATGAATCTACTTTTTGTCTTTTTTATCTTCGACTGCAAATTGTGACATGTTACAAACATTTTACAAAGATTCAATCGAAACAAAATGCACAGGTATTCGTAATTTTATGCACAGTGAAGGGGCTTGGTATACTCATCAACAGAAATACAGCGACTTCGAAGAAACTGCTTTATACCAAGATGATGCATGATGGCATTAATTCAGATGCGTCCTAAGAATTTTTTTCTGGGAGCTAAAACCTTAATTCAACTAGAAAATAAACACACAAGATTCATATGAATTTCGCCTTTATTTCATATAAAGAGAAACTTGTGTATAAATCTATTTCATATAGATCGCGCTATTAACAGTTTATTATGACGTGAAAAATTGGAAAAGAAGTATTTCTTTATAATGCATTCGGAATTCTATATTTTCTAGTATGAGTTTATACTGAAATAATGGAGTGTTGTACAGTACAATGCCATAGGTTTAGGAATCTTAAAAAGAAAAGGCGACGTCGTGAGACGCGCGTCACTGAAAACAAATTCGTACATTAAGCGGTAAACACACTCCGTTTCTCTGAGTTTCGATAAACCGATATACAACGAAATACTTTTCAACGGGTAAGTTTCATTTAGATTTATTCATTCGCCACTAACGATAAGAGACACTCGAAACATATATCCAGACTATATACGGAGGTAATTCATCAATCTGGAAGGCATGAGTTGGAACATTTGCAAGAAGAATTTTCACATTCATCGTCGGAAATGACGAAGTGTAAGTCATGATTGCATCGATACATTCATTTTATCCACAGGGTGCACTATTTCAGTGCGACAGGATATGGAGATGTCCTGGTTTAAATAGCGCATCCTGTCTATCAGGTCACTCCACAAATAATGCCATTTTTGTACGTAAATTTGATACTGTAAGAGACACAATATAATATGTACATTGATCAATTGTTTATTGATCATTATCCGTTGATTATATATCATCTTTCTCGTTGATTTTCCACTCTTTCTTGACAAATTCCTGCGTTTTTAATTTTAAAGGATTATTACAGGTAAACTCTGTACTTGTTCAATGCAAATCTACTACGTTATAGTTTGATTTTATACCACAAATTCAAAATTAATCATTCCTAAACCCACAAAAGAAGATCTTATTTTTTTTAAATCCAAATATTATCTTCCTATAGCATAGTATAGCATAGGTTCTTTCGTTTATTTTTAGGGCAGTTTGCTTCATTACTATTTCTTTAATTTTCCCTACGACATTAGTAGATAAATAATTCTGCAATCTCTTCTGAAACTGAGAATCCTTTATTATTAAAGTCTATGCTATCCAAGCCTGGTCTGGTTGAATCTAAATATGAAAAAGCAATAGTAACATTTTATATTATAGTATGAGATGCTACAAATTAATATTTCTCAACAATGATTTTACTCATTACTTGCTATCTACATACTAATTACTTACAAGAATAAAATTCAACACAAGAATGGTTTCAACCATTTAATATAAAGAATAGGGGACGACATTATTTTCAGAGTGACCTGATTCGTAAACAACTAAATTGCTTGCAACGCAAGGTCGATAGTAATATTACATTCCAGACGATTTAATTCAACAAGTTGGTGCCATCTGTAATGAAACTCTTCGATTGAACGAATCGAATAAATAACAACACACGTTATTCATATTTACAAATATCGAGAGTCAAGCGTTAAAAAAAAATCGACCTTTCGATTTCTACATTGTTCAACAGAATTGAAGAAATGACACTAAAGTAACAACGCACAATCGGATGTTTTGTTAAGAAACACCAAAAACGTATAAAACGTATAATTAAGTGAACATTGGCATATATACTGTAATTATGTAAATTTCTTTAAAATATTCTCTAACATTATCGCTCCGTGTTATCGTGTTTACACGCTACGATCAACTTTCCTATGTTTCCTAAACAAGTTCCGTTTATTAACCAAGTTAATTGAATTACAATGCGTGTAATCACAAGTATAGCACAGCTTGACCTATTATCGGTACTTCTTATTGGCAAATAGTTACAGTTGCGAGTGACTATGGCACGTGTAGATTACCAATTGTACGTTTAATACGTTTACGGCTGTTACCATGTGTGTACAGAAGATATAATAATAAGTAACAAATTAACGAAACGAATGCTTATCGTTCCGTAGCCTTTGTTTGTGATTACAACAATGCTAAATGTAATCTTTAACGCCAATTAATCGGTTTAAACTATAAACAAATGTACACTTGAAATGTATCGCAGCGAAAAACTAACGATATTCATACATAATTTATTATTTCGACTTTCGTAAACAGGTCAAAACGGAATAATTAATTAAAAAATCAACTCGAAGCTGTCCAGAAATTGGATAGAGTACAAATGAATATTGAGAAAGCAAAGCGGTTATTAAATTCGTCGTGTATCAGAAAAAAGTGTATAGCTTGAAATTTACTAATTCCCTTTTTGTCTCGAATTTGATAACCTCTGTGTTAACAGAACTTTCTCAAATCCTCTCACGGCTCGTCGTTTACGTAGCCGTCGCATCGAATGGTCTTGGCGTCCTTACTTTTATACCTAAAGTTATATTATATTGCAATTGACATCCGTTTGTTTATACAATTCGTGATTAGGTAGTGCATTGTCCTTCGACACGAGCCAGAACTAAGACAGTTGCACGGATACCACTCTAATTACTTAGAATCGTTCCTGCGTTCAAAGAAAATGTTTGTCCTTCGAGAAACAGTCCTTGCGTAAGACTTCATTCGAGGCCAAGTTAATCTCTGTTCTCCGAAATTGTCTTTTTCACCTCGATCCGATTACAACAACGCTCTCACGATTTACTCATCGAATTACTTTAGCATCGAAAGGACGTTACACTCTAGCTTGATACGAATTATCGCTATAATTACTTTTATAATTTTTTTGTTTATGCGGGTCGTGTATGTACGTCTGCGTGTGAATTTTTATCAAGTCACCCTAATTCGTTTAACTTAGGGCGGATATCAGATAAATTTAAAGAGACGAATGTAGTCGGCCGAAAACTTAGCAAATCGCAGCCTTCAAAAGAGTTTAGAACAGCGTAGGCACTTTCAGGAAAAACGGGTGAAGAATTAAAGGTGGCAAGAACAAGGAAGATTGCTTTTGGCTACGAAAAGTCTCTTCGTTGTTCTTGCTTTTGGAAAAGCGATGGCTCGCTATTCCGAGCTTCGCACCGAAATTTAATCACTTGCAGCGAAGGAAAACCTTACTATTATGAAGAGTTGCAATATGTTTTGATTTTTATAAATTTAAATTCGTTCTCTTATGTTTTCATCGTTCCATTTATGCTAAAGCTTTCAGTTTACATTATATTTTTACAAATCAAACTAGAAACATTACTATTCAACACCGAAGGATTTTTTGTACAATCGTCGTTTACAATGGTTTTATTAGCAATTTGGATTGCTTTCAAAGATAGAATTGAAATCTTATTTGGTTATTCGATTTTCAGATATATTCATCTTTTGAGTTCTTTATTGAATTTAGAAAAACCTAAACACGTTGACTGCCATATCATGCACATTTGAGGGGGGGAGGGGGGCAGGGCGGAGGTTTTTCATTAAAAAAAAATTAAAAAAATAAATTCTGAAGGCGAGAATCTACAGAAATCAAATCTGAATAAGATTCGTGAATTTTGACAATACTGAAAAATTAATACAACTAGATTATATAATTTCCAATTGTATAGAAATAAAATTTTAGCCTTGTAGATATTTTCACGAATAATGGTATGGCAATCAATGTATTAAAATGCAAATAAATAAATATGACATGAAAAAACACACATATGTGCATTTATATTCTGAAGAATCTTGTGAAACAACCTTATCTGATTCCACTGAAAAACGAACAGAACATTCACTATACAAGTTACAGTTAAACAATACTGTAACACTATAACTTTTCATTTTGTATACTAAAAATGTACACCCCCATACTATGTATTCATCTGTACTGTAGTTACATTGAGAGAAAATGACAAGAGAACATATTCTTGCTGTTTGTTTCTTAGCAACATAGTAGGCCATTCGTTATCAATAATTATTCAATGATAAACAATTAAATTCAAAGAGAATTCTCTGACAAACAAAATTGATCAGATATGTGATAATCTCCAACTGATATAAGCAATTCACTTGGGTAGTGCCTCTGATTTGAATATTTCAGTTTTTAATATACATGTTGATCAAATAGTTACATGTCAGAAGGTTTTAAAGTATTTTGCTTATGCCATTGAACACATGTCAGTAAATATAACAAATGAAAACGATCAAGCATATAAGTTTAATGCTTAGTAAAAGTGAATTGAATTAATTGAAGAGTTCTTTTGTATACATTCCATAAATTCTATACCATCAAAAGATATCGGAATTGTTAATATTTTCGTAATACGTCGTATTCAATGTATATCAAATGGTGTGTGTCGCGGTCGGTAAATGAGAAATTTGAAAATAAAATACAAGATGATTCATCTCTGAGCTTTTCTTTGCTCAAAAATTTCTTGTGCGTCACACACTATATGTATATGTTGCAAAGCATTCTGTACGTTGAAAACATATAAAATTATCGAGAACTCGTCAATATTTTAAATGACTATTTTTTAGGATGAGCATTTTTAACATAAAAGAATAAAATACGGAACTCTATCTAAATACTAACATCATACAAATACATTGTGTACCAAACGCTTACAAACTTAACTACCCATTTATGTTTTAACCTCAACCTTTTCTAACTAATTGCTACTTGATCATTTTTATGACAACAATGTAGTAAAAATGGATTTCGTTTTTACGTTGGACACATTATTTGTCAATATTGGTCTCTTCTTAAAATCATGTTTCCTGAAATTCATCGTAGACGTTTATTTTTTCAACGTTACTCATATAGAAAGAATTGAATAAAATAAGAAAACGAAAGAATCGATCTTATTTTGTCAGTATTTTCAGGAAAAAGGATGACTAAACAAATAATTGAATATTTTCACATTACTCTTAAACGTTTTTTGAATGGTCTCTTAAACTATAGAATTAATTTTGCACTAATTCAGGATTTCCACATGAGAATTACATAACATAACAAAAAAATAAAATTCAAAAATGCATAGACAGAAATGAGATCATTAGGTAAACATATGATTGTATGAATGCTTACATGGTCAAGGTGTAAATACTACCCTTACTGCAACAAAAAAATTTAATATGTTGTAAAACAAATCCATGTTTCATCTTTCTCTTCGCTTCATCACATTCACATTTTAATCCAAAGTAGTTTACTTTAGGGAAATTTTTTTAACAATTCGGTTTTTTTCTTGCATTGGAAACAATTTAATATCATAGATTGCTTTTTAAAAAATGTAAACTTTTCTGAATATACAGAGTGTTCTTGTTACTGTTCCGCAACAATTTTTTGTTGAAGACAAAAATTAAATAGAAAGAAGCTTAAATATACTTAATAAAGAAAATAAAGGATTAAATTGCCATTGAAAACTTACAACAAATTAAAAAAGTACTATAAATATACAAAATCATAAAAGATAATGATATATTCTCTTACATTTTTTCATACATTTAGAAAAGGGCTGTTGAATGCTAATAACTTGAACACCTTGTATATAAGTGGTATCATCATAAATTATAATGCAAAACAACTTTATCATAATTGATGACACAAGAAAAGGTTTAAGCCAAGAAATGTTTGTTTCCATTTGAAGAATATAATTCTCTCGTTCTCATAATGTTTGATTTATAGTTTGAATATTAATTTTTAAATAAAATCTGACAATTAAAACATTTGATCATAAGGAAAAGACTTGTCATTATATTATTTACTTTCCTCAAAACAAACATTTCATTGTATCACAAAAACGAAGAGAAACATTTTAGGTTGGGTTAATCCTTCTCATTAGACATATTTGTATGTATTCACATAATCAACTGTTGAGTAGGAATTAAAACCAATGAAAACTTGCTGTCTGATTATGATATGCGTAAACGGACCGATATCTGTTACTTGTGTAACAATACAAACTATTAAGAAGCATGTTCTTTGCCTTATGCTTTCATCAAAATACTGATAGCATCAGCAATCGAATAAAAATGTATCAAATTAATGTACACACATTGATCACATGCATATTGCCCGATTGTATCTTAATCCCATAAACCTATTTTGTACAACTTTGTTCATTACTTCGTAAAAACTAAAAGTTTCAAAACGAAATTTACAATTATGCCTTGTACCACCAGTAAACAAGTAACTTTCAATATCAGACATATGGAATGTGTATACTACTAAACTGAAAATCAGGTGCTCCCTTAGATTTACTTTTACACTGTGTCGACACGATCACTGCATTTTTTAACAAACATAAATATACACACTTAAATATGTATAGCATTTTAAGTTCTTCGAGACATTTCATCTTTTCAATTAGAAATTTTTATCTTTTTTGCAGTGAATTATTTTTGAACAAATTTAGAGATATAAATGATATGAACACGAATGGTTACGAGCTTCGAATTTACGTCAAATATTAATATATGACAGTTACATGATATCTAATCATAGGTTTCTTAAATTCTAGGGAACTTCATTTATTAAAAAATACAGCAATGTCTACACAAGTTGTTTTTCAATGTCAAACTTCAAATAATACTTTCTATCATATACGGAATATGAAAGTATATTGTGCATCAACAACCTAATACTCCTGTCTACTCTATCACTAAATTCGAAACGTATATACTTGTGTATATGATCTAACCTCAAAATCGAATTCAAACATAACATTATTGATCTGCGATATTTTCTACGTAATACGTGGAAATGGACTTATATTCAGACTCATTAAAAAAAACAATTCAAAGAAATCTATAACACAATTCTTCAGTATCTTCAGGAATATTACGTAAAAATATGAAAGTTCCTGTTATCGATACCTTGTATATACGATGTTGATTTTGACTTCAAACATAATAAATAATATTTAAATACCTCTAATTGTGTAGATAGGAAACAAACAATAAATTGAAGGTACACTTTGTTATAGAGATTTTTACAGATACATCTACAATTGGTCACAAAATTATTCGAACGCTTATGAACCTAACTCGTAACAAGGGAGACCAAGCTAACTGAGACTAACCTCTGGAACAATCTGGAACAATAGAACTCAGAACTCAGGTTAAGATGCGCACTCGACAATTGCGAAACATATGAAAATAAATTTAATATATTCGTGTTAGATAAATGTAACAAAATTTCGAGAAACGTCAATTTGAAGATGCATTTAACAAATTCATGTCGACAAAAAAAAACAATTTTACTACTAATGCCACAGAAGCACTAATAAAAAAGATTGTAGATGTTTGGAACAACAAAGAAAACTATTAGAATTTGCAGAACGTAACAATAGACTATTCTAATACTGGAATTCAATTATTTAATAAACATATTATCGTATAGCCGTGTCAATACTTCTGTGGTCTACAGTCGACGTTTTTAACAAATGTATTGTATATATGACATTGTTTATATTTGCCAGGTGTAATCCCAACTCCTGTGCGTTATTTTGAAGATCATAGTATAACTTTATTCGTGTAAACATTAAACAGGCGGTTCGAAAGCGTTCAAATACTTTCGTTATCCTCTATTCGTATAAAAGAAGACAAGCAAAGAGAGTCAAGCGTTTGACTATAATTCATTTAAAAGAAAAAGAGGACACATGACAACGAAACGGCGTACATTCTCGCCCCTCGGTCCCGATAAGAGCATTTTCTCGACTTGGCACTGAAGGGAGCTACTTAGCAAGAAAGGACGTCCTCAGCCCGGCCATTGTCAGGTCGCATCAAAATAGGCCGAGCTTTGTCCTCAGGAATTCCTTGATGGGGACATAATATTGGTTCCTTAAGGCCACCATTTCTGGCGTCTTACGCAGGCTGTTGAAAAGCATCGTGTCTGTTTCGAACACCAGAACGACCACAATAAACAAAACTGTGATCGCGAGCACAAACGCTGGAATGAAGAGCCTCACTATTCGCAGACTTTTGTGCCTCAATTTGCTATCCAGACGTCGGCCAGGTTGCTGTTGGTGTTGGTGTTGCTGTTGTTGAAGGCAGAGTTTTGAGTTTTGAAGTTTCTGCATCTTCGGTACCGGGGTCACCGATCGGCTGTGCGGTTTACCGGATGAATCCAACAGTTGACTTTCTGACGAGGAATGATCGAAGGAATCCCTGAAGTAGTAGTCGTTTGCATCGCCCTCATGCTGACCGACTGAAACAAAAGTATTCTGATGCTTCAGCTGATAAACTACATAAGGTTTAAAGTCTGAGTCGGGATACGGTTCTGAATTCATGAATTATGTTGGAAATGAGATGTTAAGATGAAGCATCAATTAATTTTCCTTTTAACATTTGATATTATTGGATTACTACTGTTTCGTCCATAATGTGGTCCTATGTCCAATGAAGCTGAATAAAAATGTACTGAAATCAGAGAATCTAGACCGCAAAGATAAAAAAAGTTAAAAGGAAAATTTATTCTTTTTTTCTAGTATCACATTTTAATTCTGAATCACCATAATGATAATCAAATTTTCTAATTATATATCATGCGATATTTTGTGTTCACACAACAATACTAACAAGCATTGTTTAGTGACGAGCAACAGTGTAATAAACTGAAAGTATTGGAAAAATTGATACTTGCTGAAAAGGGCGATTTAAGTTACGGAAAATATTAAATTATTTGAATATATTTTATAAAACAACACTGCATATTTGTATTTTTTATTATCCATTTATATATGTTTACAATTTTACATGTCATTATGTATTATACAAGTTGTATGTTGTTGACTTCCCCTTGTTTTGTAGCACCTTTAACCACTTTTGAAGACTTGTTGTTAAATTATTGATGATTTCTTGTTCAATTTGTACCATCCTTACTGTATCCCAGGTCAAAAATGTTACAATTCAAAATATATTGGAGATCACTGTCTTGATGGATTATGATTTCTTTGTCACTGCACTTCATAGTTTACATCAATCTAGATAAATTTTCTTTAAAAATAATTAAGTACTGATCCTTGTGTGTAATTTCTGTCATTCAAATTAAATTGCTAATTTGACATTGGTGGAGTCCAAGCTAAGTTCTTCAAGCATCCCCTTAAGATGCGTGTTATTCAATGTACGGTGTTTCCAGCACCATAACTTTTTATTAATTTTCATCTGACATCAGCTATGAGTTTTCATTTTCTTAGGACGTCACAGACTATCTGTATTGCTTTCTAATATTTTCTGTTATTGTCTAACAAACTTTGCATTCTTTAGCGGTTCTTCATACAGAATATCTTTCTATCTGCACTAATAGCTTTATTTTATTTCTATGTTTTGGGACAAGTGGAAAATTCCATTGTAAGACAACTTACTGAAGTTGTATAATTACACTTTTGCTCGTCACTGTAACTAATTATAGTATAAGACATTAGGAAAAGTGATTAAGTAATAAGAACTTCTTGTTATCGATTAATGATGTATATGATTTGTATGTGTATATGTATAGTATTATTCTGTAAATATTTAGTAAAGTATCTTGTAAAACAGAATATTTTTCAATTCATTCAAATGCAGATACCGTGAATGCAGACCTTGAATATTACAAATGAAAGGGGCAATATCCTACTCCATACAGATGAATTACTCTGACTCTGTATTTCAATATAGATATATTAATTCTGCCAATATCATTCCATTTCAACATAGTGCAATAGAAATTCCAGTTACCATTTTGTCGCAGTAAATTTTCATGCGTTCTCCAATCATATGAAACATTCTTTTGATCAACTGATCAAAGAGAAAAATTACCACTCTTATTTTTAATAGGCACAGGCTCATGCTGACCATAGTTTTACGCAAAGGAAAAAAATGTACAAAACGAGATGTAATGAAACACAGTATAATCAACAAACAATTGTTACTATAATCGTGCAAATAACATTTACTCCATAAAAAAAAAAACGTTTAAATATATGTAGCATTAGGGAGGAAAGAGTTATTTGGTGTATGTCTCGGTCCTTCAAGAAGAATCCATCATCCAATTTACCTGTACCTTGCTTCATGGCTTCGACTCCGTTTTTAATGCCTTTGTCGTCAATCCTCACTGATGCAACGCAACCGTTTGCCGTTTTCGTCGTGGTAGACAAGCCGTGCCTTAAGATCTCGTTCTCTCGATGATCAGGCGTGCTTACCTGCTCCTTGGACCTGCGCAAGATTGTCTCACCGTTGCTAGGATTGAAACAACCATCTACCACCGTTGTGATGATCGTTCCCGAATCGATGGTAGGAAATATGTAAGTCTCGTTCTTTTTACCAGCTTTCAACGCTTCCGTCGACACTTTTGAGCTCTTTATTATCAAAGCAGTCGATCTGACCACTTTCGGGTTCTTTTCGAGGGCATTTATGTATTGCCTGACAACGTTATCGACGTCACGGCCAGCTAATTCCTCCGAGCCTATCACTATCTTTTGACTGTACAATAGTTGTGGTCGGTTCAGCGTGCTGATTGGAAATTTCAGTCTAACTTTCGCACGATTTGTGGTGGTGTTGGAGGTGGTGGTAGTGGTGGACGTGGTGGCGGTGGTGGTGTTGTGGGTAGCATTCGCATGCGTATCATTTTCGTCTACGGCTAAATCAACAGAAAGAAAAGGAAAAGACAAATCAACAACCTAAGAAGCCAAAGAAGCCGCAGTCCTAAACGATTGGTCTCTATACACGCGTTGGCATTTGATTTATTGTACTCTTTTTAAGTTGACTTTACATAAGGACCGTTTCAACATTCGATAAAGAATTAGTGTAACGATTGTAGTTGAATTTATAATGTATACTACTTTATTGATCTTTTGTAATCTTTAAAGATATCATTGTAGATATATTTTTCAACTACGAAGCTAATAGTTTTCCTAAGTAAGAAGTATTACATATAAAGTATTATTAATTATTCGACCAATAAATGGTTTTTTATATTAATATAAACTGAGCCTGTTAAGAAATAACTAATTTTTAAATAATGTATGTGTCCAGTACATACTTATATTGGACTAAGTAGTTATACGATATTTGTTATCTATTGTTCACTCACTAATCAATTAATAATTAATTATTCGGCGTTTAAGATGTTTTTACTAAATTTTACAAACAAGATATACATAACAGAAATAAAAAAAACTGTTTTGATATTAATTTACAACAAATTATTCATGCGATACTCACAATTTAAAACATTACCAAAAACGAACTTGTACATGCAACTAAATAAAATCTGTTTCTATAAACTATATAGTCATTAAATTATCATTTTGGTATGAATATCTATCTGTTTAATTAAAAAAAAAAAACAGGTTAACAATGCAGTCTTTAACAATTTTGACAACTTAATGGCTGGTAGCAAATAGATAATTTTTAACACGCTTCAACTGAACATACAAATTATACTTATACATGCATGTATAAACGGATACTTTTCATTTTTCCACTAAATGAAGAAGTAAGTATGTATATATGTACAATATACAATCAGTCATGCAAGTCTGTATACGCTAACAATAAGTAATGTAGTATGAAAAACTACAGTAAATTAGGATTACTGTATGCTGTATGGTTGTATAAGTTTAGAAAAGAGAATCAAAATTTTTAAATTCCACTGACAATGAGTCACACTGTTGCTTAAGATTTTCCCCCATCTTGATTTTTAAAATTAAAATCGCCTAAGCGATACGACGGCAATGGGAAGGAAAAGATAATGAATGAGGATGACCTAAAGACTACACAATTCGCTCCTTTCCAATTTTCAAATCAATTGCTAAGAAAATGAACGATTCAATAGCACTATATGTATTCAGATAATGAAAGGCCACTTGAAAATTCTGGGTCTGCATATCATACTTCAAAAGACATAGAAAGGAATTGTTTGAAAAAAATCATCCACCACGAATATCAAGATATAATAGAGCAGTGATTGTCGAGCAAATAATGCATAAAGAAGAATAATTATTATAACATATAAGGGGTTCGAAGTTAGATATCTTCGAAAATATTTACTATGCAACAACCTAATGTCTAAGTAGCATGCTTTCAATTCTTTGTCAAATTATAGCTTGAATGTTTCATTCCTCTTGGTATTCAAAGGGATTACAGCACTAATTATTTTACCGAATGCTTATTTACGTCCTCTGTAAAGTATACATTATCATAAGTCGTACGGATCGAAACGTAAATACAAGATTAACAATAACTTCCCTATAAATCGGAAAGTTAAAAACAATTCAATATCCAAACAAACCATACGGGATGATACGATAAACGAGACTAACCGTTGTTTCTCCTGGCATGAATTTCTTGGTCCTCCGAAACGGTTTCCAGGAGTGGCAGAGTATTATCTGGACAGTAAGGCGAACTGAACGGAACTCCTGAACTGCCTTCCGACATTCCAGTACCATCTAAACCTGCGCTATGACAGCTCCGTGGCAGACTGGAATATCCTGTAATTTGAATGTTTAAACAATTTGTTCGTGTTTACATTTTGCGCCCATTACGTTGAAGATGATATATCACGAAGTATTTATTTTAAACGCCTGTGTTTACTATAATTATCTTTTTGTAGAGATATAGAAAATATAAGCGACGAGCGATAAGGAAGAACAAAGCATGTATCATGTACATAGCTACCTGGTACTTTATTTAGAAGAATGTTAAACGTCTCTTCTTACATACTATGCACGATCAGGTACCTAAAGTCTGAACACCTAAAACCATTCCTGATTGGTTGGGTTTTGTTACTCTTTGTGGTATAAATGTGTAAATATATTCTTAGGGGAAATAATTAACTAAATATTCTCATGCTTCGTCATGTTCCTAGCAAGCATACAGCCCCAATGGCTTACTAAAAAACCTTACTAGTAATTTATTAATTTTCAAAGTAACACATGCCTCGTTTAAAAGTCGATTTAACATTTCAAATGTAAAAATGTATCGAGTATAAATTTTATCTTGTATTAACGAACGTCTATACACATAAATGATAACGGAGAGGGCGCGATAATACTTTTCTCAATTTTTAATAATTTCTTTACTATATCTGATTCAGTATTACTGATATCTGATGAATGAGCATCTTAAGGGGACAAAATGGGGTGTAATACCTAAACTCCAAAGCTTAGCTTAGACTCTACCGACTTGAACAGTTCAGTTGACTGATATACGGATATCTCGTGATGGTCTAGTTAGACAGAAGGAATATTTCATGGATAATTCCTTTAGTATCCTACAACATGCACAACATTGTCTGTTTAGGCTGTGGCTCAGTTTTGTAGTATATCCATCAATTTCTTTAATGTTTATCGGTATTTATTTCTCATCCCTTGCAATGAGTCTATTAAAAAATAATTTATTACTCTGTATTCTGACGATTCGTGCAGGTACTCATTCCTTTAGCTTAGGTGTCTCTTCAGTATACACGATGAAACATAGTTGCAGTTGAGGAATGAGGGTAAGATCCTTATACGTTAAATATCTGCTTTAAGCATCGTCTTTAATCCTTGAGTACTTTAGTGGAATTCGTTAAATTCCATTAAAAGATAAGTGCGTAAATCATGTAGGTTTTCATTGAAAAATTGTAATTTTGTAGATGTTTAAGGAACATTTATGTTAAATATTTCAAAAGTCTTGATTCGTTCCTATGTGGTCTTTTGATATCCCGTGATACTTTGATGTTTCAAGGTCTTCCTAGGGTTCGTCGATTACCAACCAAATTTATATCATTGTCTGTAGAACTCGTTGTTTGCAGTGTCGCTTGTTACTTCAAACTATCCTGGAGAAACTTGTTGTAAAGCACAGAAGTCAACATTGAATTCACTTCCTGCTACACTGCTATCTTTTAAATCCTCTTGCTGAGTAATTTTATCAATTAATAATCACTAATTTCAGATTTCTGTACCCATACTATATTGCTACCTTCTCCATATTTACTAGTGTACCACAACCATCTGATTGAAAAATATTACGTTTGGATTTAGCTAGTTTAGCTATTTAGTTTGCACACTCTCATCCCTATTTTAATATTTTTTAATATTTCATATTATTTTTCAGCCTTCTTGCTACACAAATAAATACTTTCCTCCTTCAATGTATATCTTAAACTAAAATTTGCTTATCTACGTAATACAGCTAGCACCCAACAACAATACTCGAGTCAATGCATGATTGAGAATATAAAGTACACTAACTTATTTCAACGAGATCTTGACTGGGAGTACTCGGAGTGGCTGGAACACTGCTGGCTTTTCTTCTAAGACATGACGTTTGACATCGCTGTGCAGATGGCTCGTCCTTTTGAAGTGGACTCATTTCTTCCAGGACTTCTTTTTCCGTTCTTCCAGTGTACTTAAACTTCGTACCCCACGAAAATATCGATCCTCCGCTTACAACCGGCGCGTCCGACGCCCTGGGTAATCTAGGGAAAGAAAATTAACATCAATCAGAGTCGTGATTGTAATTGCAATATCTAAATATATGTATATATTAGATGAAATTAAAATAATCAAATGTGTTAAACGTATTCTTAAGAAAGTTTTCAGGATAAATACTAAGATATTCCCTTTGATTAACTATTTATTTACGTTTTAGTAGATCAAATGAAGTTAGGAATTGTATATAAACTAATGTAACAGAGAAAATATTTAATGGTTATCTGAAAGCCCATCACAAATCGAAGCCTACATTATACCAGCTGAAAATCCCTTACGCGTTTAATGAACTCTTGCAGAAATTATGCGCTATAAATTTTTTACCAGGTAACCGAAGTGTATTTTTTTTTTAGTTTTACACACTTGTTTGGACACAAATTATTTTTGATGATACGATAAGGGAAAATATTATGTGATTCGAAGAGGCAAATAGTAATTATAGTAATTATATGGGATCCATTTATCCAAAGAAGCGATACTTGCGTATCCAAACAACTGAGATATTTTTTAATACGTAACAATCAGCATTTGACATGTTAACTACTCTTTTCTAGTATTGTACAATATAATGTATAATATTTAGAACATAATAAAAGACAATGTCTTCAAAAGGTTACAAGTTCTTCACTGTAGTTGGATCTTCATACATGCTTTTCATTGCAATATATGGGAGAATGATAACGTTTATTTTATTGCAACACCTCGTGTATGATCCAACTGAGGTTTGCAAGTGGAGGCCCTCCGTGGCACGTGGTAAACAATTAAATTCAAAAGATTTTCTTTAGAAAAAGAAGAATTTATTTGTTTATGATATACAACACTTGTGCTTATATATATATTTATATTAAATTTAATAGTACTTAAAGTGTACTTGTATATTAAATAACTCTGAATTTATATATGTATGTGTATTTGACAATAGAAATGTCAACGCCAGGAAGTTGGAGCATGGCCACTATCAGTGAAACTGGTTAAAGTCCAAAACCTTGATGTGGAAATCCTAAATGAATACCTATATAAAGTCAAAATTTAATTTAATATTGTAGATCATTTTTCATTATTTAATTTACACTTTCACTTCATAAAAATATTGTTTCAATAAGCCAGCTAATACAGAGAAGTTAATAAAAAGAAGTTATTCACTTACCTCCTTTAACACAGTTTCTGTTTTTCTTATTTTAATCACGTTATGGAGCACTTTGTTCTTTGAACAATATTAATTCTAAATTACACTTTATGTTGTACAATGATTTTCACCGAACAGGTAGTTGAATCAGTACAGATTCTCATATTACTCGAACATCAAGATCTAAATTCCACTTTTGTATTATAAGATACTATTTCAACACTTATGCGCGCACAGAATAATATTTGTTTATTACCCAACAAAAAAAAAAATCATAATCTCCGTCTTGTAGGTAACTTAAGTATGTTTTCTTTTTCTCGTAAAAGGAGAAGCCTAATAATTGTAGGACAGAAGATGATACACGATACCTCGTAATGCTATGATAATAATCATATTAAGTAGTGACAAATTAATTTAGTGATAATTAGATAGTTTGTTAGACATGATAATTCCTTCAACGGGCCAAGGCATGTACCTAGAATGAAACAATACTAATATCCAATAGATTTTCTCATAATACGTAACACTGCTAAGTGCTTGAAGCTGCGATTTGTCCGTGCTAAGACATTTAAAGCATTTCAGCTGAATAAAGGCATACATACGTGAAAAATAACATTTGTTCGATGGCGCATCTCCATACGTGACGACAGTTAGGCCCCGTGGGACACTTAAACCCAACAGTGTGCTTTTTCTGAAAATTGCGGGGAAAACGTTGCACTAAAACCTCTACACTATATACGTTGGATTTGGAGGCTACGACTACACGTAGTTGTACCATATATAATTGTGTTCAACCAGCAAAATCGTTTAAGAACAAAATTACTAGTTCTCTTTATTGAACGCTAACTATATCTCGAAATTAAAAAAGAAAAAAAAAAGAATGTATTTCAAACAAGGGATGTAAACTCATCGCAAAGAGTTAAAAGTTATTTAGCGGGGTGATTAGTAGCTGAGGTATATAAATGGCACAGTCAAAATAGTACTTTGTATATTCCATAGTTTAGATGTTTTGTATTTTGAGCACTGATTGCCAACTAGTTATTATTATCATAACAAAAATAAAAATATATGCAACAAAAATAGTAGAAGTTGATATCAGATCTGTATTTATACTAATTAAAGATTGCACATCTACTAAGATCACTTTCACTACTAAAACACTTTCTGTGTTTTCTGTTATTTATACACTCACTTGCACGGTATTAAAACAAAAAGATTGACATTAAGAGTATCAGAAGTAAGAATCGAATATGGATGATGTAAATCTTTACATAGGAGTGTACTTATATAAATTTACGGACGTAATATTCCAAGGGAAGCAATAAAAGCAAGTTACCAATGTGAAAGATTTAAAACAACGGCGTCGTTTCATCGAGATATCTAACCACGGTAATCCTGTTCATTAGCACACTAATGACCAAATTATTGTGAATAATAATTCGATCGTATTACGTGACGACAATCAGTCTAACATGTACTTTTAAACTAAGTTAAGGAATATGAACAACCCGTGCAACTGCTTCAAAACGACTCACCTTCGTTCTCACGTCCTGGATAGGCCCAGCAGTGGAAAATAATAAGATTAGTGAAATCCGTAACAATATCGACCGCACAATATACATAGTGTTCCGCTATAAACTAGCTACCTGAATATTTTCGCTGTTCAAAACGATGGGAGAAAATCAATGACGGTTGAACATGTAGTTCCAACACACAATTCATAATATGTTACATACTTTTTCGACCAACCATTTTTTATCATTTTTTAAATTTCAATATGTTATAATCTAAATTAATAGGGATTAGGCAACAGGTGTCCAAAATGTTAAGGGCAGATTGTAGATAATTAGATACCAAAATAAAAGAAATATCGAGAATAATATTACGTGTAGAAATTAATTCTGTGCCTTTACATTCATACATTTATAATTCCAGTTTAAGTAGAAATCTACAGAATCTAAGTCTCAAACTGTGTACAGTGTATCTATGTATACGACATTCAGTAGCTCAGAATATTGAGGATATCCAAGATCATAAAGGGTTGATCGAAAATGTTCAGCATTAATAATAAATAGCTTGTTACGACTACATCCAATGTTACTGTGTGTAATACTTCGAGCTTTATTCATAATAGTTGTATTACTTGGAGGATATAATATGATGCCAACAGATGTTTTTGCGAGTGAAAACGTAGAAAAGACTTGAAAATCAAACCTCCTTTACGTACATCAGTGTTTTTTTAATAGAATGGTCACCTCTATGTGGCAGAATTCGTTAGAACAATGAATTTTCAATATGAAAGTTTTAAGGTACTGATCTGACATAAGAATATCTATTCTAAACGAAAAGTGAATTCTGTTGATTAGAATTTCAATATAAAACAAAAAAAAGGAGATGACCTTTAAATCTGTTTTCCTTCTCCGCTTTAAGAAACTATTACCATCATATTACATTAATTTCGAAGCCACGTATCGTCGTAAACAATATTTCTCTCTCACATTTAAAATAACGAATATATTGCCTGCTTCTAATGGACTGCAGATAGACTCATGCGCAAGAGTCCCATGTAATAAAATAACACACGCTTGATTCCAACTAGCATTCGAAGTACACGACACAAGCAATGCTCACAAAAATGATTACAACATCATTGTAGGGCATTTATCCACCAAAGACTTATACAGATGAACTGAAATTTAATTGTAAGCAGGAGGATAGGCTTAGTTTAGGGATTGTGAGCGCCTCAAGGAAGGCGGCGGAGGGACTGTGTGGCCCAGTTTTGCAGTCAGATAGAATAGAGAATTTTTTTTTATTCCGATATCGCTAACTTCTTCATCATTGCCAGCTCCAATGTGGGTGATGAAGGTTCTAGTTGTATATCAACTTACGCACTGATATAGCGGAAACAGTAGTGAATTTGAGAGGTTTCTCACCCACCAATGTGAATATTTTCATGTATGCCATATATACATATGATATAACATCATACTGATAATTCGTAGCTTTCACAGGTGCTCTAGTTAAGGCGAATCTCGATTTTGTCGCCTATGGGAGCTGTATTCAGTTCAGTCTTTGAGCATTTACCCAGGTTTTAGCCTGTATCGTATGATACTCAGGCAGCCAAAAGGCTTAATAGCAGTCTTGGAATGGTGGTGACTGGAGTACGATAGGGTCTCCATGTATCCTTGTGATGCAGGTAATAATAAGAGGGATATTATTTTGAAATCACTGATTCCTCTATCAGTAGGAGCTCCAATACAGTGGTTAGTAGTAAATGATTAGGAAGACCTCGCGTCACCTTCAAGGAAGGTTAAGGAAGACTGTATGTGGCTCAGTCCCAGCCCCAGATAGAAGAGAGCATTTTTTGGAGGGAGAAGCGAAAAAATGGATTCCTGACAACACAAGCGGTGACATACAAAGCACTCCAAACTTATTTGTATATATAGTTTAGGTTGAAATATTTTTAAAATACGCTTAAAGCATTTGCAAATGTATATATGCCTCTTTATCCGAAATGTCTTAGATTCATGGTCAAAAACATGATTTCCAATTTTATATTGGTCAGAAACGTAATTTTCAGTTTTTGCCCTATCCCAAAGTCACGATACAGATTTGAAGCTTAGAATATACTGTTCTTTTTCGATAAGCTATCTTATAACTTATCACAAGTCGAATTTGGTTTTGAGGGATTCGTTTAGCTATACCCTCTCATTTTTTTTTTTTATAAAACTAATATCGAAATTACCTCGTCGCAACTACGAAACAGTATTTTCATTCAAAAATGACTTTATTTCGTCTCTCGTGTTCTTGTACAAGTCAAATAATGTTAAGACTAGAAAATTTATAACTTTTACCTCACTTATCGTTAAATGCACAATAAACATTTTTCCTTCGAAGTTGATCTTCTGAACCTCCGGCCAGCGGAAATGATGTGTTTTACGCGATCCTTGAAACGTTAGTATCCCACAGTGATTAATACCAAGAAAAAGTTGCACGCCCTTCTGGTCCTGCAATCATTCAAGATTAAATCCTTTATTGAATAGCAACTAGAACTCGATCGGATAAAAATCATTAATAAAGCAACAGTTTTATATTTTGAGCAAAAAAAATGATTTACATTTGAACCTTAAATCTTCAATTAAAACGAGATTCAATCTCGACTAGTTCTGTGTGTTTCAGAATGGGTAGTAGAAATTGTTAGGTGTGACCATTTGTGTAAAATTAAATAGAAAATGTGGAACAAAATGTCTTTATAAGACTTTGCTTCTTCTTCCATTCTTTAAAGTGTAACTGGAAAAACTTATTTATTCTACATTTGCTTACACTAACTAAGCGTTAAAGACATTAAATATTCGATTATGCTTGCAAGCATTGTGCAAGAAAAACGCAAATGTAGATACTTTGCTATATGATGTATGATGAGCAAGTTATCAAGTTTAAGCTACAAACTTGCGCCCTGTAAATCCACAATTCTTTCCATGTTTTAACCTGCCGAGTCAAATGAACAAGATAACATCATCTTAAGCGAATACGCGTCGCCTTCTAAGAATTACAATAATTAACATTGAGAATAAATATCAAATATCGTGTTTCGAGAGAACAAAGATATTCTCCGTTCCATCGCAATGGGTCGCATACCACTGCGAGTTTGGGGCACGCAGCCGCCATTGCACTCTTTCCAAGAGAGAAGAAAGCTTACTAAATCGCTCCCCTTCATCTGGAAGTGAGTAAATGTTAATGTATAATATTCTTAATCAAGTGCAACGTGCCCATCGGATAATACAGCAGTGACAAGCTTCGAATTTCACGCATAGACGGCTACTGCAACTTTACTACATATGTATACATCCTCGAGTAATTACCTATGCATCGAATCAGCGTAGACAGCCTTGAAGATTTAATGACTGATAGCCAAGAAGAATACGAAGACAGATGGTACTCACTTAGCGGTATTATAAGAATACTCAAAATTATCTTGTGGAATCTATTGAAGAATATTTTGGTTACGATGAAGAATGGCGGATGATGAAATCATGAATATCGATAGACGTTATTATACCCAGCTGAAAAGCTTGTTATTACAAAACCTCAAAAACTATTCGACAACGCCTAATAGCAAGCTACTTCGAGTATTACATTATCGAGAGTCTGTTCTTTGTTTAAAACAAAGTATTCGTACAAACTACTTAATTAACTAGCAGGATAGATTATAAAATGTTAACGTATTTACTATATAATACTAAATAATCATATTAAACGTACATGGTGCGATGAATGCATGAAACTATTCCAAAAAATAATTTCATATATAATCAATTAGTAAATTCTCTTGATATCAATAACAAACTTAATTTACTATCGTACTATTAATTACATACTATTATCCGAGATTCGGTTGGGCGCATGATCGCAATAGATGACGTGTAAGTATCGCCACGTTTATCTCCTGTCGCGAATTACAACCAAAGGAAACGAAAACAGAGGAGTATTAAGTACATGTGCAACTACTATAGTTACCGGGCTACCAACTACGTGGACATAAAACAATGCAAAGTGGAAATGTCTGAGATTACTGCGGCATGCATTCTGATGTATCTCTCGTACAAAACAGAATGAACGAATACATCTAATCGATATCAGCGCTCAGCAATGTACCCAATCGCATACCGACGGATCAGCCTCGTTTAGGAAACAGCATTTACCTCGCCGAGTTTCGAGTCAAATTCTATCAGCACCAGAAGACTTACTATGGCTGGAACGGTTTCCACGGATGGCAGACGTAAAGGGGGGCACAATACTCAGATCCCTATGGCTCTTGGAACAATGTCGCGGTGCTGGCCATTGCGAAGATCACCGTCAAGTCAGGAGGGGTGCCCGTGCGCCTAGAAGCGGATAAAATAATCCTGAGGTCAGGAAGAAGTATCTACTTCCAACAAGGATTCAGCGTTGACGGCAAATGTGAATGGAACTACAAAGTCTGCTCCAATTTCGCAAATATACTGATTGGCTTGTGGAGAGATACGTTTTCATTCGTCTTCTAGGAGACTTCTAGTTCCTGGCATGTAGTAGTCCTGAACAATAAGAAATGTTACAATGCGTGTTCAGTAGAGACGCTACGAATCTGCGTTGCTGAGGATTGTTAAGGATCTCCTAAGAGAAGCATAGATAGTCTTTCATTGCTTGTTCTGTTAATAGGACCGCCCATTTTAAGCGTGGGGCAGCTTCTAGCCGAAGGATCACGGTAAATAAGGTCGAGTTTATCCAATCACAGTTTTTCCAACCTGTTTCTTGCTCTTTCGCCAAATCAGAAGACGACAGGTTGGTGAAAAGAACCACGACACCCTTAGGAGCTACCACAGAGGGGGTAAACTAAAACTCTCATCCTCAAAAGAATGAGAGCCCTTATAAAGGACCGGCTATCCTTCTTCCTCTCCTGCGTTGAACAGAAATCCTTCAAGGGAGGAGACTCGTGAAGGGAAGGGGTATTCCCATCGCCAAAAACTACATGCTCCACCGCTAAGGAAAATAGCAGTGAGAGGTGGAGCCAAGTGGTGGGTCATAAGACGAGCTGAGGAGACCAAAAATCCCGAACCGCCCCTATACTTCCGCCACCTTGGACCAAGGCTCTTCATAAGTTCTTCATAAGAGTAGCTGATCCTCTGTGGCTGAGAATGAAGAGGTAGACTACAAGGCGAGACGAGAAGACCAAAGGACCCAGGCTACCCTGATATCTTCACCATTTCGTCCAGGCGGTGAGGATCGGGTCAGTCGATAAAAAGGGCCGTTTTTCCCGACCTTTTCGTACTGCTGCAGTCACCCTGACCGTCCTAACAGTGAGCTTCACTCACAATGAGGTGGCATCAGCTGCTAGGGAGAAGATCTCCATGACAGAGCTGAGCATTACTTTGGTGAGGCCAAAAAGAGCGGTGACAGGGAGTCTCGTGCTAGAGTCTCTATTTTAAGTATTAATATTATGTGTACAGAATTCCACGAGAGGCTGAGTTTGGGTAAAAATTGAACAGAACGTTCTTCTACATCTAATATGTTGACTATTCATTGTTAAATATACCCAGACCTGTTCAACTGGGCTGTGGGATTAAGTCTTAGTCATTAAGACATCTCCTCCTAACCTGTGGTTACTGGGTACTATAATCTAAACGTCTTTCGTCTTGTAAGGCGGAACTGATGACGACCAATTGCTGTTGGTCTCAAAGGCGTGGCGTGCTGTTATTTCACGGACTCTGGTCTCGTCCTAGGAAAAGTTCTCCCACGAACGGGTTGAACAGGCCTGCTATATTCTGTAGACCATTCTATAATTTCGAAGGTAAAATAATGTATTAATATATGAACAAATTGATAAATGAATGGCAAATAGAAATATCTGTGGACGAAATAATAAGTAAGAAAATAGTGTAAGAAAAGAACTTTGCCTTTTCGAGGCATTGCGCCATCCATTTCGCTAAGTAGTAATACACGATGCCCAACTCAAAATAACTCAAAATAACAGTCACTAAATTCTGACCATTGAAAATCTTTATGTGTATCATTCACTCGAACATAAATGTTCGACACGTGTTCCATAAATATCAATTTACATGCAAAGTAATCGACTCGTTGATCCAACTATTTGAAATTTCTTGGCAAGTACTCTATACTTCTATTAAATAAAAAAAAGTTCCATCATTCGTGACACACTTTACGAATTACTGGAGCATTACATAAACAAAGTTCATATGGAAAAATTCGAATTCAACTATACGTGTCACGTTTTCGCTGAAATTAATCGTTTAATCTTACCTTAACAGAATGTGGATCAACGGCGTATGTATCCAATTGCGAAGCTAACCTAAGGAAATGAGTTTCCGCTTGCTCTGGCGTGAACCCTTTTAACTGTGTTTGATGTAGTTCCATAGCTTTTTCTTCGATGGCCTCAGTTTGTTTAAGCAGCAATTTGTGCGCGGAAATATAATTTCCTTCATGAATCTCAGGATCGTAATCGCCCAATTCGCCTAAAACACAAAATAACACAAAATCATTGAACTAATTGTTCAATAAAACATTTACTAACTATGTGTCTTTACATTATAGTAATTACTGCGGCTTTTATGCATTTATGATATAAACTAATATACGTACACTATAAAAATATATATATATTGTATGTATGTTTTCTACATTATTGTGTATGTCATAAATGGATAAAATCTGCAGTCGAGTAAGTACAAACTATAGTACGTAATTTTATATAATCGTTCCTTATTTAGTATTTCATAATTGTTTAGTTTATTTATATATGCATTTATAAAAAAAATACATCACTGGTCTTCTTTTCGAACATCAAAGACATTTTTACCGACGCTAACGTCCCAGAGGGATCGATGAAACGATCGATATCTCAACGTGAGTTACCGACGGACCACACCTGTAGATAAATTACCGACGCGCGAAAGTTCAAAGGCGAACTAAGAACTTGAAGGTGCCAATTGTAAGCCATAGACATTTCCGTTAAATTAAATGTTATGAGAAATGAAAAATTTGATTAAGAGACAAAAGAATTTAAGTTCATGAGATTATCACTTAATTTAAGTGAAAATAACTGACTCCTTTTTTTCACTTTCTACTATCACTATGAACTGTATTAGACAAAAATAGAGTAGGTAATAAAGTATTAAGTAAATAAAAATAAATTTCACAGAAATCTTTTTTACAATTATACAATGAAGATTAACTGAAGATTAAATTTAATTTAACAATAGCACTAGCAAGTCAGACAATTTAATCCATGTACTTTAGATTTCTCTTTAAAATTATTGGATAATTAACAACGTTTTTGCTGAGAATTTTTAAAGTAGGGAACTAGGTACATGTATGTTAATTAGTTTGCCTCTTTAGTCTCTCGAGTGTTGGTAGTTTTACTGTTAAAAATAACAAGAGGAACCTAAAATTGATTACAGATTAAGAGAGTCGTAGAAAATGCGTCTTTAAATTTTATATTTCGAATAGAGTTAACTTCAAATGTCCTGAGTAAAACACAACTTAAAAATCACACGTTTACCCCTACCGCAGACTCGGTAGGTTAATGATTAAATAACAATTGAGACGAGGTACGTCTCTGCGTTACATACCTCTGAAGACTTAAGTACAGTAATTACAGGCAAACTACTGCTGACAAATGAAGTAAACAACAAAGTCAAGTCAGTGTCGCAAGTTATATAAACTTAGAAAATTAGATACTACCGTTGGGGATACGTATACCATTAAGATAGCAATAATTGAAATTATAAACATTAACATTGACGGAAGAGTACATTCTACACAGCAAAATATCGTGAGAATGCAATATACAACTATACTTGTGCCAAAACTGAATACGTCTTTTAAAACTACCGAGACTGAGAACATCTTTAGTTCTGAAGACTAAGGTTCTCGATTAGGAGCCATGGCATCGAATGTAAACCACAAAGATAAGAAATTAGTATAGTGCTCTGATAGCGAAACATTTAAACACGTTGTTGTGGAGCACAAAATGACACGTGACAAATGTAGCGATCATAACTGGTTAATATATTCTTACAAAAAGTGATCTGTGGAGAATATAAACAAAGCTGAGCAATTTATTCCGACCTCCTCTCGACTCCAATCATTAATATGCTAGTTTGTACGAGATTAAATTAAATTGTACATAATTTGACACTATAGCGTCAACTTTATTCAAACACTCTAACTCTTGTACAATTTCATAGAAATCAATGTTAATAACCAATTCAGTTTCGTCTTTACTTGAATATTTTTCAACAATGATTCTTCAAATATTATATTTAAAATATAGACAAATTAAGTAGGTGTCAAGGATAAAAATATTTGTGGGAAGAATAGGGGAAATATTTTTCATAATAAAATAATTTTTAAATAACTTGTTTGCTTCGGTTAATTTTCTTCGTCACTTCTACTTGTAAAATGTAAATTGTCTCACGAGAAGAAATAATGTTTAGGACCCTTGGCATAATATTATTAAAAATAATTTGATTTAGCAATTTCATATGACAACTCCCAAATTTCTATTTAAATTGTTAATAGCTTACTTTGCACGATGCATGCCGCCAGCAACGCTGCTTCACCTGGACTGCAATAGAGTCGTCCATGAAGGAGGTCCCTTTTGAGTTGCTGGTAGACCTGATATCTAGATATTTCTTCTTTCAGCCTTAGAGGATCCGGTGGGTAGAATTTTACACGAAAACTAAACAGGATTGGGTCCATATCTGTAACACATTCAAAGTAAAAAAAAAAGCAAATTGCACTTGCAGCTGAATTTTGTCGAAAAGTTTATATCAACTAAAAAATGAGTTCAGTGTACTTTGAACGAGATCATAACGTGAGCCAAAACATAAATCAATGTTTAATACAGTTCTGTTTTTAATAACGATTTTACTAAATAATTAATCAGTATAATTCGATCACCACTATATCAAATTCCGATATATACATTTGCATTATTCTCAACAAATCCTGCAATGCTTTCATAGATAAAGCTCTCGTAAGTTTGCAGTTAACAGTTGAAGGTATAAGAATACTTCTGCGATTCGCTAGTATAAAGAAAGAAAGATCACAACATTTCACGCGTAGCGTGTCATGTCTTTGCGTTCAGTTTTTAATTATTTTAACGAAATTTCTGATGTTAAATGTCTTGGGGATTCTTCGCCGAAATCAACACGTGCCATGTTTATTCACATCTACGAGAATAATACAGGCGGTCGCTAGGGTTTGAAAGTTTCATGTGACATCGACCCACAGTGAATGAATATAGAGAAAGAAACATAGCAATCGAAGCCTTGGTCACAGCTGTTCACCGCTACATACAATTGAATCGGTGTACATACTTTTACCTATATCAGATTCATTCTACTTTACACAGGAAGCAGGTTACGTACTTATATTTGTTGTGGTAGGTATGCAATATTTAGTGTATCACAAAAACATTATAAATGATAATAACGTATTCGAAATTAATATAAGCTACGAGAGTAATAATAAATTAATATCATTCTGTTTAAATAATCAATTGAAGTACTTCTTAAAATTTGCTATTAAATAGTATGCAAAATGAGCAAGGGCAATTATTGATAGAAGAGCAGTTTTTCCATAATAACGTTAAAAATTGTTATTGCGATAAGAAAGTATTAGATACGATACAATTAAGTCAGTATATATATATTCTTATATCAAATTTATTTTTCGGACACAATTTTCTTATGATAAGGAAGAATCATATTACTATTCCCCTAGGTATTACAAATAGTGTGCACGTAATGTTTAAAAATAATAAAAACAGACACAAAGCATAAATGTTTACATTACCTCAGCTCATTGCAATCGATATATCGGTCTGTGTCTGCGATGACATGTTTATGAATGTAATGTACGTTTGACAGTAAATGTTCTAGATGTAATAAACTGATAGTTACGTTAGCAAATGCGTACTTTTGTAAACGGCAATAAAAAGTACCGTTTCATTATGCGATTAATATACCGAAATAAATTGTATGGTATGACTAACTATCGTGCGTGATCGCTCAAACTAATAGGGAACTCGGATACGCCTCAATCAAAAGCATTTGCGAATTTGATCCGCTTATGAACAATTAGGGAGGGAAGGCAATTCTTTCAGGAGACAACCTTTTATTATCTGGGATCGAGGTCGACCTTCGCATGCATCGTGAGGCCAATTAAACGATAAGGATTAAGCTATTATGTTCTAATATTTCTGAACCATTGCAATTTATTTGTACCTGTGATGCTTGAGGAAGGAAGAAGATTGTAAAATACAATTTATGTAGACACTTATGTTGTTATATTAATAAAGGGATTTAATTTAATATTTCATGTATGATTTAAATATTCTATTAATTCTATACTAAATTGTAAAATAATAAAACAATTTATATAGGAGATATTTATGTTGTCGCGACAAGGGGATTAAAACATTCTATAAATTCTATCCTACATTGTAAAATACAATTTATATAGATACTTAATTTAATATTTAATGTAAGATTGAAATATTCATAGAATATTTCGTACATCAAAACCTAAATGGATTCTTTGTTTAATCAATATTACTATAAAAATGCAAACCAACCTTTTACTTGTTTGATTGCCGTTTTTGCCAGGTCTAACCAATGCTGAAACAAAATAATTTTTCTATGTAATGTAAAATATATAGCAAATAATGGGTATTGTTAAATAGTTTCGTTGTAAAAATATAAAATGAGGTATCAACCATTTCACAAATGAATTATTATATTTGAAATAATTAATTTACGACTATTATTAAACACACGGTTGAAATAATTATTTAAATATTTTTTAGATGCAAGTTCCTAGCTCAGATTTATATCCAAGATCAAGATGGTTACTTTATAAGCAAGTTTGGGTAATTTAATTCCACGACTTCTTAGATGTAATTAATAAAAGTACACGAATTATTCTATTGTCTAAAGAGGCAACTGTCGAAATAAATACACCTAAGTGCCGAAATTGGTAACGGAGCCAATGGTGTCATTGATAGCGTCTACATTACATCACTAGCTGAATTGGAGCATTCTACTTCGGAAGAGATGGAGGCTGGACCACTACAGCCGTAAAAGAAACGAGTATGTTGCGAAATAATGACTCTGAAACTCGTCGCGGGCGTTCCACAAATATAAACGTAGCAACGGAGATGCGATGTACGTTCTGGTGACGACAGAATCGTTTCAGCTTAGGAGGGCTTGCTATGGAATAGATCTTCAGTTCATCCCTAACGGAAGCATTAGTGCCAAGCGAAAGCGGAAGCTCTGAAAAGTCTATTTCGAGAAACCGAATTGGACGCAATTACAGTGGCGAATTTCTTCCTGCTCTAGTTCCACTTTTCAGTTGTTTATTCGGAACACCATCTTTCAACGTTAATTGTTGTACCTATCCGTCCAGGCTTGCTTTTTACATGACAGGTTTTACAGTCTTTTCAGTCTTTTAAATTATCATCGATTCTTATTTCTAATTTAATCATTTCTGAGTTCACAGTTTTTATTTTTTTTACTGTTTCGCTATTTTAATCTATTACGTATTTCATAATGTTTCATTCTAAGTGTGTACATAAATAAACTGTATACATGTATATTTATGAAACATTTATTTGGAAACATCAAACCTATCATTTAATTTAGACAAGTTTCTCTAATAGAGAGCGAATACTTATGGAAGTGACTGTGAATAATTCTACGAGTAAAAATCTTCAATCAGGGATCGTGACGACTAATCATATTAAATATTATAAAAAAAAATATACCAGTAAATACGATAGAAATACTTATAGAAATTATTAGACTTTGCATATTTTTATGTCTAGGATTTTTCACATATATCTATAACTCTCATCTTAGTGTATCGACAGGTTTATAAACATTTGAAATGTAACTATAAAAATATACTTATATTCTCACTTTGGTTTTTGTACAAGTTACACTTCCAATTACATTTCTATCCATCATTTTTCTATTTATTTCCCTCCTTAACGTGTCGAGTTTTTTTTATATCAGACTTATCCTTTTCTTATCTTAATCTACATCTAAGTCTAATGTTCCTATCTTCCTACTTTAAAAGGTCCGTTATTTATCTATCGAATTTATTTTCCTCCTTAACGTACCTGAGTTTTTTTTAATCTGACCTATCCTTTCCTTATCTTAATCTATTTATAAGACTTGGTCCTATCTCCCTGCTCTATGAGGTACGAATGTAGTTACCGATAGGCTGCTGGTAATCGAGATAGGGAACAGATGCTTGAAATGTGGCCACAAGATGTAACAGAGTGAGAAGAAACCGCGATTTATGAAGTTCCCAGCAATCGGGCTGCTTTGGACAAAATAAAGGCAATATCTTGCGAGACAACTGTGTCGGGCATTGATCATATGAAAAGTACTTGCATTAAGTTACAACCGCTGGAAAGCGACCCATTATTCTCGCGTTACAGGCATCACGTTTATAGAACTGGGAGAGCTTCTGATTTTTGAAGATCGTACCCTCAGAATAAAATGAAACCCAGACACAAAGACAAAAACAAAATGTGTACAATTTAAATAGTTGTTACAATTCAATATATTATTATAATTTCATTTAACTTGTGTCTACTTGAGACGTAATTAAGATAAGCCTTCTGGTTTAGCATGCATTTATTATATTAGTATTATAAATGCATCAAACCTGCAGATTATTTATTATAATTAATCTATTTCCACTATATCTATATATACAAACAATTACTACTTAAACCATTACTTAAACTTTTCTATTTATCCAACACACAAAGACGAATCGTTAGAGATTTATCATCGTTAAAGAATACATTTCACTATCAGAAAAATGACGACGTGTTTAACTTTAAATGTAAACATCAACGCGTTAATTAAGAACTCTGAGAAGTGGTTTCCTTACGAATTGATGTTTAACAGAGTCCAAGCTTGGACACCTGTTCCATCGTAAATTTATTCTCACACGATAAAAGAACTGCCAAGAAAAGAACCTATTCGACCGAGAATAAAGTATGATAACATTTGCACTATTATGCGAACAAACTTACTCTTTGCCTACAGTGATCCACGTAGCGAAGTCCAAAGTAATCCGTTTCCATGATGTTAAGTTGCTTGCATACATATTCCAAGATGTATCTTCCCTTGTGTTGAGGCTGTAACAAAAAGGGATAAGTGCAAATAATTGGAACAAAAAAATGTCACCAATTACATTTGAAGTCCATTAGACTATATTATACTGTATGTATATGAAATACGAGAATAAATATATACGTGAAATAATGACAAATAATAAATCTACGATTCATTGAAATAATATTTATTTAAATTATGTAAATTAACATTTTAATACTTCTATATTGATATATCATTATATGTTTTACTTGGTAATGAGTAAAAAGTATCTCATCACTGTGCGTTACATATTATAATATTAGACTAATCTATGAAATATTTATAACGTTCGATTATTTTACTAAAATCTCAAATTATATTATAATTATTTAATCCCGAATTAACTAGCGCTAATAATATAGCACATATACCAAATTCTAATTTAATAAGAAGAAATAAATATCAAAACCGATGTTTACATTGCGAATAAATACATTTTCATAAAAGAACAAAACCATTTCACTCATATACACTCGGATGATTATAAAGAATGAAGCATAGTCCTTATTAAACAAAGATGATCTCCCTGGTTTGTAAACACTGAGACCAGACAAACATTTTATTTATCCAGAGAAAAATAAATTGTTGGGATGTTACATCTGAAAGAACACATGAGGTGAGAAGCGCAGTCCTGTACCTCGCAGTCCTTTTTATTACTAAAAGACATCGAAACATTCCGTACATCGAGGTAGGATCCCCGGGGATCCAGCCTCGAACCTATCTTTATTTTTTAGGCAATGCAACGTTCGACTGCTCGCCTCTCTCGATACATCCGAGTCCACTCTAAATAATCAATTCTATGACACCCGATAGCTACGTAACTTGGAGTCGCTAGCCATCGACGGGTATCCGTTAGGGTGCATGGTTTATGTTACGGTTCCATTGGCCCTGACGCAGCCGTAAACCTATAGAGGCTACGCTATACGAGTGTCTGCGATGGAGCTTCGCTATCGACTGAAGAAGTTCTCTGAATAGAAGTCTGAGTAGTCAATGGGTGCATTCAGTAGACTGATCATGATCACTGATCCAATCATTAGAAACCACTAGCACTGTATACAAGAATATTTCAATATTCACATTTTACAATTAGATAACGACAGTCAAAGCCTCATAAATAACTTTTTAGAAAACAAATATACAGGGTGTCCCAAAAATGTTGTAAGTGTTGTAACACCTTGAAAGGGGTGGTTCAGGAGGTGATTTGAAACAACTTTTTCATTGTTTGACATTGTTTCATTGTTCTTTCATTGATTACGGGTAATTGAGTTATATCGGCGCAACTTTTTGAGACACGCACGTTTCCCTTAAGTTTTCCCTTGAAATGGCGCAAGAAATCAAATCAAAATGTAGTAAAATTGCTGAGATATATACAAGAAATGTCAGCGGATTTTGTATCAGACGAGAAGATGAGAAGCGTGCTCACGACGGTCCGAGCAGTTTTCGACACCACTTGAAAAGAGCGATAAGGAGAGTTTTGGAACATAGCACGAACTGTATAGTGAGATTTATTAGTACCAATAAACAAGTTTAAATCTGGAGGAAAAGATTTTCAAAGCTGCGCTCAGTCTGGTTTGAAGTGTCGAGCAGTATACCTAGATCGAATGAGTGAGAAAATCGGAAAACTGATTCTCTTCTTGGTTTATGAATTGTTGGTTTATAAACCAACCAATAATGAAACGCCAATCATACACCACAAGTTTATCAAGAGACTCATTGACCAGTTGAAGGGTGATTTTCGTCATCCATCTTTCGCTAGACTAGACAATAAATTACATATTCCCGATGTGGAGCAAAGAAAACGGGATTGTATAGTTTGTTCCAACAGGAAAACATCTGGTGGCAGGCGTCAAACAACTTATTATTGCCAAACGTGCACTAATCAGGCTGCAATGCATATTGGGGAGTGTTTCAAAACCTACCATACTGTACAAAATTATAAGAAATAAAATATTGATTTTTTTACAAATATACATTTCTCGATTTCAACCAATTCATATAAGTCCAATATCATCATAATAAGTAACTTAGTTCCAAAGCTATACAAAATAATACGAGAGTTTGAAAATGTCCGTTTCTGCCACAAAGTAGCGCGGAGTAGCTGGTAGCCAACGTCGAGAATGGCACGGCGTGCAAAGGGTTGATATCTGCTTAACGAAGTCTCGGACAACATTTTCGCTAAGGAAAAAGTTGTTTCAAATCACCTCCCGAATCACCCCTTTTCAAGGACCTCTAACATTTTTGGGACACCCTGTATACCGTATTTTAATAAAATCACTAGGACCATCTGATAGATACATAACACAAGTAACATTGTGTAACCCTTTGGCCTAAAACCACGAGTAAGACTCGTGGTAAGGAATTTGGGCTATAATCAACAAGCACGAGTCTGACTCGTGGTATACATATATGTACATACTATGTTCGGACTTCCTGCCTTCCTGTTTACTATAACCCGAGCAATCGTGAGATAGCGCGTAGGTCAAGGGGTTAAATTCGTTTAAATCTAGGCGCCAATTCACAACCTCGGTGATCTGCATCGTACTCTAATCGCCGATGCAGAGTACAGAGATTGAGAACCAGCGCCAAGATTTAAATAGAAAAAGGGCTTTTAAGTTTTTACTTTTTATTTTTGAAACTGAACGTCGGCCGAATAAACTGTTAATATAAACAAAGTTTCGTCTTGTCTTTCTCTATAAGGTGATATTTTCCAAAAATTGTTTTAACGAATTTAGAGGTTCTAGTAAAAATTGTGCCGCAGTCAAATGGTTAACGACAATCCTTTGCCCTTGTCGACATCATGAACGAGGCTCTCATGCAATAATGAAGGTTCCACTGTGCAAATAATAGATGCACTAGTCTTTGTCATGGTCTATAGCTGATTGCAAGATTGTCGCTGCTTCAATCTGAGCACAGGCGCTACACCATTATTTATTCCGTCTATTATCGTCTGTGGAACCGACGCTATTACACCAGATACAACCACGTCTATCCCTTCCAAAAAAACCTGATCCATTTTTGAGGGAATTTTCCATATGAAAACTATATCAAATAGTAAGTTAAAATCTGAGTACATTACACTACAATGAATTAAGTTATGCATGTACACACTTTAAAGTATCATGTGAGTGAATACAATTTTAACACGGTTTACGTGGTTTGCCTATGGTGCCAACATGAATTTTTTATTATGCGATGTATATTGTGTTAAAATATTATCTACAGCAGATAAGCTGAGTTATATAATGGGTGTTCAAGGCATTTTTCGTGGTGGAGACCATTTTTGCGATTATCAGTTATTTCAAATTATTGAGAATGAGAGCAAATAATTGCACTAAAAAAGTGGCGACACATTGCGCCCACTGGTTTCAATGTAATTCATCGCAGTGTGAACAAAAAATAATATGTATATTTTCCTTGTATTAATAAAATTATTTTTCCATGTTCTGTATGCCATTAATTTCTTCAAACGATTATAGCAACAATGGTATTATTTAAAAATTTATCAGTATCGATATTTACTGTAATTATGTATTTTTACTATTGGTCGCGTCGCCGGTCACCGGTGGCCCCCACGGCAGTAAACGTGTTCATAGGTCATCGGTCGGTAAAATATTAAATTCATACACGCAAGCAATCGTAAAATTTCTTCATATTATTCGAAAGATCAGACAAAAATGATGTAACATCTAATAAAAAGTGATTTATATGTGGAGGAGTGTTTTCAAATCAAATACAATTTGGTCAGGGAACTCTGGTTTGAACAAATAAGATGCATGTTATTAATATTCAATGGTGAGAAAGTTATCCATGCGGTGAGACGGTCTACGTGATCTATACCACCGGATGTAAAGTATACCTCTCTCGATAAAACGGAAGCTGATACACGTTCCAGTTATTAGATATCAAGACTTTTCATTAAATGAAAAAGAAACCTCCGTTACGTATTTCAGGCTCGTAATAAGATGAAAGAATACTTGGAGATCCATTCTGGTAACCATGTAATCATTTTTAGGGTAAGCATGTTTCAGAGTTTCAACAGTTAAAAGGAATTCCTAAAATTCAAATTTTCTCTATAATAATTAATTAATATAAATTTTGGTACCGACTAACATAAACTGAATCATTTTTAAGTTATAAATAAAGGTTTTGTTTAAGACTCTGTCAGAACATTCTCGTTCAGCGTCGTATACAGGGTGAGCCATAAAAAGTGTAACAGCTGAATATTTTTAAAGCTATAAAAGACATAAAAAAAATGTTACTAGGCAAAGTGGTTTAATTTGATATCTTTTCACGTAAAGTTATGATTAAGATATTAAACTGACCAACATTCCTTTAAATGAAATTGTGCATTTTTCAATATGCATTAGCGTAGAGCTTTAGAGATACACTACCGCTCAAAAGTATATGGACACTTGCGAAATACATATGTATTATATTAGCATCGCCTAAAAGTTATTTAAGTATCTAAAGTAGTGATCAAAATTTGATTTGTTTCTTAGAAAATATCTAACGTTTTAAATTAAAAATTACCTCGATTTTTATTAGTTTAACTAGACTAAATTTAAATACTGGGTTCATCGACCTATCCGACGCGGTTTGATATTACCACTTCCACTAATTCTTATCTTTCTCAAGAGAATACAACTTAATACATATCGAAGAACTCATTGAACTCGTTCTGTATAGAGATGAAACAAAGCGGAACTTGAGATTCTTTTAAGCATCGAGACCGTTCCATTAGATTTTGTATTTCTAGACAGGAATTTTATTTCTGCATGCTCATTATATAATTTGCACAAAAAAAATTAATTTTATTATGCTATGATACCCCCAAAACGATAACAATAATAATCACAATTGATACAAGCGTTCTAAATACCTTTCTAAACTATAACTATAAGCGTTCTAAGCTATGTTTAACTTTGAATAGAACAAAACAAGCGTCCGGATACTTTTGAACGATAGTGTATACATACAGTCGTAAAACTTCTCTATGTATTTAGTATTCAAAGTGAACTTTACACTTCGATGACGGTTGATCATGAAAAAATGCAGGAAATTACAGATGTACTACGCACGAAAATTATATTACTAAAAATAGAAATCAGTGATTATTATCGCATAATTCAGTTTCAGTTCAAAATGTTGTATTCTCTGTTTTAATGAGATTGAAATATTTCAGGCATCATTATACCGCTTATAAATGTACGTGATATCTGATTATTGTTTATCACTGTGCCGGTTAATGAACAAAAAGCATTATTTCGTAAGTGAGTTTCGGCGTGTACAAAAGACGATACACGCGACAGGGAACTTGTTAACTAAATAGCGTGGGCATGACCACGCGAGTTTTGATTAGCTAACGTTAGCTACGAAAGTGGAAGCAACAAGTACAAGAAGGTAATAGTCGATGGAATAAATACGGAACGATGAACTTATGAGTTTTCATTCAAGATTCACAGAAGCCTAATTAAGAAAAACAGCATCTCGCTAATCGAGCATTCAAACACTAGGCTGAGACAGCTTTCATAAATATATAACACTAATACGTACAACTAATTTACGTCACAGTTTAACATGAAACGAGTTATAGTAAAACAGAGTCGTGTGTCTAATCACAGAAATAAGATAATATTTCTTGTATTCTAACACAGCATTAATATTATACAATATTTATTTGATCTATTAGAATAGTTTTCAGATAAATATTTATTTCTAACATTTCGTAATTCATATAATCATGGAAACATACAACGCTATCTCGGTTATAAATAACGAAGTATTGCAAATTGATTTATGAACTGAAAAGTAATGGGTGTATGCATAAGTTCTGTAAGTTATGTTTAAATAAATAAACTTAGTTCGTAAATATTGATACATCGTTTTCTAGTATCAGGTGTTTATTTTTTTTATGTTTTTTATGTATTGACATAACTTCGTTTGAAAAGTGCAGATTCCATTTGGTTAATAAAGTAATTCAAAACAAATACCTACAAAACTTAAAAGCATACAGCTAATATCACAGCATTAACAAGAATGTATGAAAGCTAGGATTACCATAATTAAGAATGTTTATTTTCCCAAGGTTTAATCATGACATCCATCAAGGGGAAAATCCTTGTCTAAATCTTCCTTACTCGATTAAATAACTAAATGTTTACTTGTGAAATATTTTATTCTGTAATTCTAACTTTCATTTAAAGTAACGGACGAACAATTATTTATATTGTTCGAGTAGATTAATGTCCAAACTATTTGAAACTGGCGCCAAGAAGTTTGCAAGGAGATTCCATTCTGACGCCATTAGAGCATGTAAAATCTTTTATTTTATTGTGTACTTATCAACGCTATTCCTTGTACATTATTTAAAATATAACTTATTACTACAAAACACCTACACTTATTTGCGACCTTCAACATACATTCTATTCGTTATTCGAAACTTTTGAAGAGAATATTTAAATTTATAAGAATGTTGCCTATCTTCAGACGAATCGTCCGCGTAAAAAGGGCGGGATTTCTTAATGGTGTAATTGTATAAGGTAATTCCGTACGAAATTATTTAGACAATATTTTTTTAGCGAAGCATCTCATTAAATCATAAATCATAAGTTACGTGTATACAGGATGTAGAGAAACGATAATGAATTTATCAAATGGCTTCGTAATAACAAGTATGAAGTCAGCGGAAATTTATGCACACGTGGGATAAAAATAGGCTGTCTAAACATGAAGGAAAAGAATCAGCAGAAATCACATAATAGCAAAATAATGCGAACTGCACAGTTATGTATTCAAAGGAAACAAGCTTTGCATTAAAAAGCAAGCTTAGTCTAAAATACAAAATATTTTTTCTCAAACTTTGTTTCGAAAATAGCGGAAAAAATATTTCCAAGTTTATTTTATCACTACTACATTCACTGTCGAAGAGTATAAATTGTAAATTTTTAAAATTTTATCTTGGAAACTACTGCTAATTAATTTTCCTATGCCCAATCTATGCAACCTTGCTGAAAAACAAGTTTGTATTTTAAGATTATAGTTTTCTCATTTGAGTGTACCTTAAATACCCTCCTACCTCCTTTCACCAACAATATAGATACAAATAACAAAGCTGATGCAAGTCTTTAAATGTCAAATTGTTGAGATACATGTAAATGCCAATGCACATGTTTGTATTCATTTCCTGAAATTATTTTTAACAGTGACTGGCAATTTTGGAACATGACTATAAAATTAACTTCAATCGTAAATATTTTACTGTCATGTTAGGATGTTTGACTATGACATTTAAAGAACACCTGTGATGCATTAGTTTGTACCAACATTCCAAAGGAATAACACTGGAAGCATTAGGATCTCAAGGTATTAAAAGTCCGAAGATCAATAGTATGGATAACCAGAACAAAGCAAATATAGGGTGGTCGATGTTGGTATTCCTTCATCAATAATTTGCAATGGGATAAGCGAACATAACAGTTTAAAGAAAATCAACCTTGCCCTTATCTACAAAAATAAGTGCAACATGATCTGAGTTGGATAACCTTTACATGTTTACTATATTGTAATTTCTCTGGTACTACACTGTAAATGTGTTACTCTCAATTCATTGAAAAATTACATAATTTTTTATAAGCTAACTTAAATTGAAAAAGAATGATCCTAACAGATTATTAATGTTACAAAAAACGTCCGCACTGCAAGGTAAACAATTTCACTAGCAAGAAACAAATTTCTCAACTGATGATCAATCTACATTATCCATTAAATGTGTTTAAAAAAAATATAAGTATGCTGAATCGACCATTATATCACCCATGTTAATTATTGTTGACGAGACACAAGTAGACTATTGTCTTCATAGACAAATATCATTGACCAGTTACATGTATTTTTGTGTATACGAATACACCTACTTTTGTAATTATTAAACTGAAGTAGGGAAGCAAGGTTCTTCCTAATTATTTGTTGTTGTTTTATATTCTTAAATTTTACCATAATCAAAATCTACAGAATAAAACCAACAAACTAAATGGTGATGGCACAGAACCTAACATTTCTTTTATTGTTTCTAAGAGTACCCTTAGAAAAGATTTAACTTTCAGATTATCAGGAAAAATCATGTCTTAGAATGAGTAATACCCACAGGAAAAGAAAGGGTACAGGGTATGCTCTCCAAAAAAAACTTTAGTGAAACTAGATATACTTGTAAAACTTGTTGTGTATCCCTGTATACATATAGATAGTTCCTATACAGGCTATCACACATGAAATATGTATTATCATACACATATAAGACATGTACTTTCATAAAATAAATTATGTACAGGTATATACAAATTAGTTAAATTTAGGGGTTTTTATATTCAATCATGGGAATAATCAACGACATACATTAGTTCTTGTACAGGCAACACTTTCTATAGCATTCAAGTGTATATTCAGTACCTATATGTATACCTCACTATATCCCTTTCCACCAAGTATACATGAAATTCAAACTGAAAAAACACCTTGCATAGCGTTTGATACATTCGATTCAAGAATGGTTGATTCTTCACATAAACTTTCTACTTAAACGGTAAGGTCGATACTAATACGATATCCAAGAAAAAATTGTTGACAAGTAAGAACAGTCGTGTCAGTAATTGCCCAGGATTGTTCGAAACGATCGCTTCGATTGAACGAACCGTGAATAGGTGTGTAAGGGAAAACAGGAGAATTTTCATTGAATGTCGTCTTTTTGATCGGAAAAACGAGTGTAGCCTCGGTTTGTTTCGCTGGCCGATCGTTACCGGTCAGAGGACGAAAAAGGGGTAGAAGAAGCGCGTGTACAAGCGTCAATAGTCGCGTGCGACGGCCAGTCACGAGTCTTCTTACCTGAAAGTCGCAGTGGATAATTTCGGCGTCGTCTAGAAGTCGAATAGTGGCGCGATGCACCACCGTAACGTCACTCTTGCTGCCAAATTTCAACATTTCTGCCCTCAAGTCGCCACCTGAATTATCCCTCCGGCCCTCATCATCCCCTGCTCCACAGCACCACACACTGCCTGTTGATTACACTCGTTTTACGTTGTCGGTCTCGATACCGTAAACTGTCGTGATTGTCGCAAACGCGCGACTCCCTTGCGAATTTTCCGACAAGTTGACACAGCGCACAACCGCACGGCACAATGAACAACAAGACATCACCGTAAAGGAACTCCAAACTGTCAACCGGTCCCATCCACTGGCTCGCTGTTGCGATGATGCCACGTTTACGACGAAACGCGAGGTTGCCGTTCGAGGATATGGCAGTTGCGTAACACGGTCGACTCGCGAACTATATCGCGGCGGAAAATTCAAAAGTCGCGTTACGAATGCAGAAGTTTCTTGCGTTACGATAAATACATTGCTTTAGTATGGTTTGATTGTTATAAATAGACTGCGGAAGTTTATGCACGATTAATATGTAACATGCATATGCATGAAAAACATGCAAAATATGCACGAATAATATGCAAAATATGCACGAAAAAGGCCCTAGTCGATTAAGATGGTCAAAACTGCCCTTAGAGCTTTTTCAATACCTCTTGAATCATTCGAAAGCTGACCAAGAAAAATCCTTCTGAGTAAAATTTTAACCTTCTAGCTTGCCCGTGAGGGTAGTTACGGGGTAAAATAGATTTTACGTTTTCCGGCGCATTTTCTGGTCTCAAATGCGTTCTAAAATTCTGAAAAAAATCTGACACATTCCGGATCCTAAGGCGCATTTTTGAGAATTTTCTCAGATTTTTTTGTTGCAAACTGTGGTCGTAAAAAATGAAAAACTTAAAAAAAATCAGAAAAACATTTTTTTCTCAAAAATATGAAGACACGCTATTCCACTGTTAGGTTCCCTGATAAAGTACTATAACAGGCAATGTCGTAAATTTTTTTAAAATTGTTTGTTCGGTTGCTTCATTGTCATATTAACTCGAGTTAATATGCGATAAAAAAAAATGTATATATAATAATAAATTTATATATTTTTGTTATATGGGTGATAACTCGGTTCGAGTATCACCAATATTCTGTTATGTTATTGATACTATCCTATTACTTTATATTAGGTTAATAGGAAAGAAAAGGAAAAAAAGTAACATATTTATACACATAGAGAGAAATGTAAAGACTTGTATTCTTATATTGGAAAGGAAAGAGTTACAACTCATTATCCAAAAACAAAGCACAAAATCATTATCTGGCATTATACCAAATAAACCAAACATTAAAATAATTATAAAGGGTCTAAAAAAAAATAATAATAATAATAAGCAAATAACAACATATATATATAATTTATAATAAAAGAATTGAGTACAAAATAAATACAAAAACAAAGTATTACAATGTACCAGAGGTAACAAAGTTGCGTAGATAATAAGTATAGAGGTAAAGGTTTAGAAATAAGAAATAATATTGTAACAAGGAAATGTGTATATAACAATCTGTAATTGTTACACAATAAAAAGATATACAATTCAATACAAACTTGAATTGTCTATCGCGACAATCGCACAGATCGACGCTAAATAAAACAGTTTCTAGTTGCACTCTTGCCCATGCAGCACATGCTTTCGGCAATAAGAACTCTACTTTATCAAAGGCGAATAACTCGATTCTTTAAGGTTGCAGGAACGGTTCGAAGATGTCGTTTTACGACGAGTGGCGTGTGTAAAAAGTAACGAAATCGAAGTGGTGGGGTCGAACTTGGTGCTTGGGGCATTGAACAAAGGTTGACTGCGTCGGTCGTGGAGCCGGCGGCGCATTCACGATTCAAACATGGCAGCGGCTACCAGCGTTGTCGTGCTCGACAGAGGCAACAATACCACCTGCACGATTAATTTACACGGTGTGTGCGCGCGTGTAGATTGGCATAAACGACCAGATCTGCGAGTTGGCTACCAAATTGTCTCGCAACTTCTTTGAAACAGTGTACAAGAACTTAATAACCTAGTAGTTTTTGCGCGAAATCGTATTTACCTCGGGAGTCTGTATGCACCGACATTGTTTAACGTTGCAAAAAAAGTTCAGGGGAAAAAAAATGTTTGACTTGTAACAAGATCCGAATGGATATGTCGTGATGGATTAAATAAAAGCGCCGCTCCCAGGTCTGGTTTGTGTTTCGGTATTTAGTTGAAGACGAAGTGTGTGCGCGCCTTTACTCGAGCCTAACCTCTAGCTTTTGTGCAGTTCTACGTGCATTTGCAAGTTTTTTTTTGTATCGACGGTTCGAACGTTTGAAATTTGACAAGCAGTGTTGACGTACCGATTTCGAGAATTTCTTTTTACGTATGTTCGATAAGTGAAACGTATTTCGGAGAAAGTCGAGGGATCTAATTAACCGCGATATCGTCGTTGTAAACAGGCCACAGATTTTTTTTAAATTTTCGTCCATCCACGAATGACAAGACGCGATTTGCGTGCACGGCGGTAGACTTGAATCCTGTGTGAATTAATTATTAAGAAAAAAAAAGTTCACTGTCATTCAATCGTGACAACAACACAACTGATTCGAGATTCTGATTGGAATTTTCTATTTTTTAGGAGCCACGGTCGTTTCTTGGCGAGTGAATAATCAGGAACAGTTGTTTGTCAGGTGAGTCCAAATTATATTGAATTTAATGTAAGACAGGCTAATATTCTAGAATATTCGCGTTGCTTTCATTTTTAATTAACTTGCGACAGGACAAGTAAATACAAATTGGTTACTGTTATGATCTTGTTTCATTTTTTAATTTTTGTGTAATCATAGTGCAAAGTCGAGGTATACTATACGAGGTATACTAATTCCATTTAATATTCAAATTTGGTACCAATTCGTGCCACTTACTTTATAGTTCTTTAATTATATCGTAATTATATTAAAAATTCAAAATCACTTACAAAAATTGAAAAAAGTTTGAATCAGTAATAAGTATTAGCATATAACAATTTATTAAAACAATTTACCTACGTATGAATACGAAATTATGTACATGAGTATAATACGGTATGGAACAGTGACCATGTCTATCTGACATACATTATCTATATTTATATTTTAAAAAAAATTATTACGCGTGACAGTTGTACGCGATCAAGGTTGCATAATTTTCACACCAACAACTTTTTTTCTATAATGAGAAAATTTAAAAAAAGTTTGGATGAATACAAATATATACACGAATACATATAATTCGACACATCATCGCTATCTTTACGTTTATAGAAAGTTATCGGAAATTTGAAGGTCACGATTTAATTTTACTAAATACACATACTGTTATTCTTATTAAAATAGCAAACGTTTAGACGATTTGAACCGTCCGTAACGTAAGATCGTTTAATATCAATGAAAACGTAATAATAATTCTTACGTTACAAAATGACCTGAAAGCAATATGTATTTAAATCGTCGCAATATTACAGACGTCGAGTTGCTGAATCACGAACACTTCTTAGCATTTCCGAACTAATCACGGTATATGATGCAACAATTACTTGCCTCATATTGTAACTAAGTCTATTAATGTCGCGCCAATACATATAGCGCCCGCAATACGTACACGCTATAGAAGCTATAATCGCGAAGGTTTTCCCCGATTTTGTAGTTAGGATATGAAGGATCAGTTTTGTGATTAGCTCATTAGAATTTAAGGTGGGAGTCTGGTCAAGCTAATATATTTTTCTAATGCATATAATTTCCAGATATAATTAATTTTTGTTATCGAAACTTTTTTTTACATATAAAGGGACGTTCAATGACGAAAATTTGACAGTGTAGATTTAATTTGAATGTATACATATATAGATGTAGTAATCGCAAGGAAAGAACACCTGATAGATAAATCTTTTCATCTTTTCTTTAATAGGTACGTAAAATGCGTATGAACCTCAATTTGTAAAAAAAATTGTTAATTGTAAAAATGGCGGTAAAAAACATGAAATAACAATAACTTTATGCTATAATAATAATTCATTAAGAGTCGAGGTTCATTAGCATATAAACTTAATTACCTTCAATTTAAGCGTTGAATCAAGTGAATCGGATAAAAATTCGATGAGCTATGCGTCCCACAGTTTTGACCAAATCCTTTCCTTGCGTCTATTATATCTAGATGTATACAGTGGGTGTAGAAAGTATTCGTACACCGATCAATTTCCAAAAAACCTATGTAAAATTGTAATTTATTAACTTATTTTTTTATAAACTATGACATTCTACATATTTTCGGAAATCTGTAGAATAGATACAGTACAAAAAAAATAGCTATTTATGTAAGTTACGAAATTACAAAAAAAAAAAAACAATTAATCGATAGAAATATTGAAACAATAAGTATTCGCATAACTGTTTAATTTTTAAAATTTCATTAAAAAAAAAGAAATTTACATTAATTTATAGGTATATAATACTTCCTTCATAAGATTTCCTTTTGTTTTTATAATTATTGTAACTCTTCTAAGTATTAAAGTAACTAAATTATTAGTTATTCTTTTTCCATTCCTCTATTAGAGGTATTTTTAAAAGTACTTTACTGGAAATTTGATGTTTTCTAATTCGTACGGAGCAATAAACTAATGTGTTTTCGTTACAAACTCTAATGTAAATGGTTCGTCATAAGAATCGTACAAATACTTATTGCTTCTATACTTTTACCCACTTTTCGCATTTTTTTTGTTAATTTCACAAATTATATTAACTAGTAAATGTTGTTTGGACTATATCTATCTTAGAGACTTCGAAGAATGTGTAAAATATCATTGATTATAAAAAAAGGAAGTTAAGAAACTACAATTTCACACAAAAATTTTTTGGGAAATTGATCGGTGTACGAATACTTTCTACGCCCACTGTATGTATATATTCAAATTAAATCTACACTGGCAAATTTTCTTCTTTGAACGTTCCTTTATATATAAAAAAAAGTTTCAATAACAAAAATTAATTATATCTGGAAATTATATGCATTAGAAGAATACATTAGCCGGATCAGACTCCTCCCTTAATAATTGATTTCGTCCGCGATGAATTCTTATAAAAATATTGTACGGAAAAGAAAAACCGACGACATTAGAAAATCTGTGGCAATGAATCATTGGCAATACCCGTTATAATCAGTCTGGAAAAAATAAGTGTACATGATTCAGCATACTAACGATTGGAATATTGCATTTATGTAAACGAATGTCACGTTAAGCACGTGTTATATTGTTATAATGTCATATATCGGTTTCTTCGAAATGACTATATTATGGGTTATTGAAATCGTCGGAACACCTGCCACTGCTTCAAGGATGATTATTTTCTTTTGAAGCAATACTAGATGGTCTCAGAGAATAATCTCTTACGGATGAATTTTTTAAGGAAAAAAGTTTGTTCGTAGCAAATTGTTGTGGAGACTTCTTAAAATAAATTTTAAGTTTTTGTCGCGCGTTATTTTCGGGGTTATTTCTTTCTTTAAATTTGAGATACAGAAATAATGAAATAATTAGTTGTTTGGGATAGGTGTCGTTTCAAATGAGTCGATATCATTTTTATTTTCAAATAACTGTACTGGAAAAATGGTCTGGCAATTTTACCAAACAAGTGATCTCTCCCAATATTTTACATGCAATTATATCTTCATAATTAGTGGGAAAAATAACAAATTATTTTACCAATACAATTAATTCTCCGTTAGAATATCAGTCCTCGAGTGTTGTGGTAAAAAACTGAATAATAGTTGCGTGACTTTAGAAAGTAGTTTGAAGTGCATGGATCTGGTAATTGTACTAAACAAATGGTCTCTTCCAAGTATTCTACATACAAGTTCATCTTTGTAATTACTGGGAGAATGAGCAAATTAATTTATTGTTGACATTCATTTTCTATTAGAACAATTGTCTTCGAGTATTGTAGTGAAAGAATGGTTAATACTTGAATGGATTTAGAAGGAAGTTCGAAGTGTATGGGTCTAGCAATTTTACCAAACAAGTGGTCTCTTCCAATATTTTACATACGACTATATCTTCATAATTAGTAGGAAAATAACAAATTATTTTACTAACATAATTAATTCTCTATTAGAATATCAGTCGTCGAGTATTGTGGTGAAAGAATGGTTAATACTTGAATGACTTCAGAAAGAAGTTTCAAGTGCATACAGTCAGTGTAAGAAGCATTCGTACAGCAACCAATTTAAAATAAAAACTAATAAGAAAAGAAATAAGAGGTTAACATTAAAAGTAATAAACTTCAATTTACGCAAATTCTGCTCTAAAAATATGTAGGAATGTTGGTTAATTATTTCTTCCCCTAAAATTGATTAATAAAATAAATATACGAAGTTTTATTTTGAATTGGTTCTTGTACGTATACTTATTGCTAGCTTGCGCATCTTTATGCATTTATAGGAAGTTTGAATGTGCAAGAAACTAAAAAATACAAGCAATATGGAGGACTGTAAAAAAGATTGAAAGTAAAGTTCATGTTATAATATTTGCAGAATAAAATAAATTCCTATTTAGGTTCAATTTTCGTAGACACGTTACCGAAGATTTTATTTTCAATAAAGATCCGTAGTCTACTTCTTACACTGACTCTGTAGGTTTTGTAAATGACTGAATATAAAGGCACAGAATTTTATTAATTTCTCCGCCTTAATTTCAAAATAAAACAAACCAGCTCGTTAGGTTTACTGTGAAATAGCGCGGTCTTTCATATCGGAAACGCGAAGCAAACCCTAGATCATTTTGCTCACGGTGTCTTTGCAGTTCGTTATAGTATTGATAGCTGCCGAAGGTGGATGCTACTTAGTAGCGAGTAAGACATGCGTGCACACCTGCTGAGAAAGAATCGCATAAAAGCGCGGTGCCCGTGACGATCGCTTTAAAAGAGGCACTCCGGGAGCAGACGATGAAAAAACTGACGGAGCGAAGGCAAGGGCGCTCTGGACCAGTACATACCTTTTACACGTGGTTCAGGGACCCTCGCCAGTTGCCAGTCATCGGTTCTTCCGACACTTAAAGGCGCTGTCGGGACCACACCTGTCTATCTCCTGCGCCTCTTTTCTCCGTGATACATGGCGATATTTTCTCCAAGCACAATTATCCATAGATTAAATGAGCGAACAAAGAAAAGCCCTGAAATCCATACACGGGGAATCGAAACAGCGTGTTAGAACTCGTCGGCAAAAACGGTTCACAGGCATGCTCGTAATTTACTCCAATTTCCGTGTAAATGGCTATAAAAGTTACGTCGGTATGTCTGGTGCGATATGAATCTCTCTCGGTGTACAATGCGCCAGAGAAACACGCCATTGTCGCGCTTGTGCATCTTGATCCGACTTTATATTCCCGTTGAATTTTATTTGGACTCCCTTTGTCGTCGTCGTTGTGACGATGAATTCGGTTTGAAGCTTAAGACTGAGACTGCCGAGGTCGACGTATGCCTATTGTATAAATTTACTGATTTTTAGTCGTTAGAAATAAATTTATTTTTTTATCCTCTGTTTACTGTACATTTGTTTGGTGAAACTGCCAGACACACGCACTTGAAACTTCTTTATAAAGTCTCTCAAATACTAGCCATTCTTTATCTACAACACTCGAGGATAATGATTTTAACAGGGAATT